ATCTACTTTCAGCCAAATGCATCTAAAGTAGTTTTAAAAACTGTGATACAGTTTTCAATGTACTTTGATCCTGTCAATTCTCCTGTTCAGTTTAGAATATCTTCAAAATCATAGGTGCTAGACTAAGTTATGTAGAGCAGAATTGGAAGTGGGTTTTCACCTGCAGCAAGGGATATTAGCAAAACATCTATTTAGCTGGTAAAACAAAAGGTGTTCTTGTTAAGTGGATGCATCCATTCCTTTCATTTTATGTGAACTGCATCTGAAAATGTTTGTGGTGGGTTTCTTAAGTATTTGTGATCCTGTGTTTAAAAAAAGGAAAATAGCTTCTTATCCAATATATAAACAATCTTTTTATTTAATGAATTCTGTTTGATCTATTAAAGCATAATTGGTTTGAGGATTAAGCCTTTGGAGGAAGATTAACGTATATTTAGAACATTACAAAATTATCATATTTCTCTTATATTATACCTGGCTTGAATAATAAAAATGCTGAAAACTTTTACTTAAAAAAACAAACAAAAAACCTAAACCAAAAAAAAGCCAACAAGAAAACCCACCTTGGAACTTTCCTTTAAAACCTTTGAAAGCTAAAGTAGAGATTATACTGCATACTAAAAGACCCTTTGGTCACAAAGGTCATACTTCTGAATTAGTGGCTGTGCTGAAAATAATTCTGCTTGCTGAAAAATAGTTTTAAAGCCACAGAAGATGAGTAGGAAAAGGACTGAGCTGATACACACAAATTCATCTCATATCTGAGTTGACTTTTTCCCCACTTTTTGTTGTTTACTTGGCTGTATTATGTTGCAAGAGGCCACGATGTAATGTCTGCAATAAGAAATACCTTTTCCTAGAGGCATTGTTTTCCTGTCTTTCAGGACCTGTTTGTGGGTTTTTAGACATTAGCAATTAGTATAAACTTAAAGTAAAACTCAATTAAAAACAGAATAATGTGGAATTGGAGTGGGTAAGATTTTTTTTCTCTCTACATGCTTTACAGTCGTTCATCACAGAAATGTCTGAATATTAACTTTTTTCAGTTTTGTTAGTCTTTTTTCTTTGATGTTCTGTGATTTTATGAGAATTTTCCAGGATGAAATTTTGGATGATTTCATTAACTGTAGATTCCATGTGACTGGAATCCTTAGAGATTTATGATGCTAAAATACCTTTAGTAATTAAAAAATTAATTTATCAAGAACATATCAGAAAGCGAGAAAAAACCTTCTTTTGAAAAGTTAATTAAAACATGAATTCTGTAATGAATGTTCTCTCAGCCTCTCTTAAAAGAGCATTTTTTCACATAAACATTTAACATTGCGTGGTTGTGGACAATCCAGTAGGATAATAGTGGATTTATGTGACTTCCTAGAAGGAATGTTTTTCCCTATTCTGGCTCTTATGCTATTAATTTAAAATAAATAAAATAGCTAAAGATCCTGTTATTTAAAGGGAAGTTTTCTTAGTAATTACAAGTACTACTTTGGGGGGCACCGTTGCTGTTATCATACCAACTCATCTACTTTGTGCATTTCAGTCCAACTATTTAGAATTTGATGACTTCATGCTAATGTGCTTGTCTAGAGCAGAGGGTAGTTTTTCAGTGAAAGCATGCCGTAAAACTGGGAACTTAGTAGTATAGGTGTGTTTTTGACAGGACAACTACTTGGTTTCTGTCTTCCTTTTTCTTTAGTTGCTGTTTTACTGGCAGAGAATATATTGCCCAAAGTGACCTGGGAGGAACTGAGGATAGACTTTCAGTTCACTGTTCAAATTATGCAGGAAACTAACACGGTTTCAGACTCCTCTCAAGGCAGACAGCTACTTTGTTTTTCAAAAGATACTGGTTCTTTGGTAGTCATTTCCCAAAAGCCAGCACATGCTTGGACTCACAAGATAATTTTAACAGTAGGATTATGTGGACCCTAAAGAGGAGCTGTCTTGCTGTTAAATTGTATTGATATGAAAATTCTGGTCATTTGAGAAAAAGCATTAGCATCTATCATTTTGAGACATCTAATGTTTCATTTAGACATTAGCAGTAAGTTTTTCTAGAAGTAATCTGTTCTTCTCATGTAAAATTTCATAGAAAGGAAACCACTGAAGAATCAATGTAGAGTAATAAGAAATGCAGTAATTCAAATGTTGATACTTTAATAGGGAAAATTAGCTTCTCAAGATGTACATGATTTTGAAGGTGAAGGCAGATGATGCTGTTAAGAAAGAAGATTATTGAAGAGTTCAAATAAACCCTCTCTATCAATTAAAATGCTTTTCCATTACTGATTATGAAGTATCCTTAAAATAGGACAATCTAGATTAACCTGGCAGTGTTGGGGGTTTTTTCAGGCTCAGCTGTACAAGGGATTTAATGACCTTTCTATTAACTCAGACTAAGTGAGAGTCCCAACAGGTCATGGTGTCCTGTAAACTTCATTTTCAGATTAAGTGGAAATGTCGTTCTGCAATCCTGACCTCAGTTTCAGTACCTCACTATACTAGTCGAAAAGTGTGCAGCCTGGATCAGAGATAACCAAAGAAAGCACTGCTGAGGCTATTAGTCACACCTGCTTGATGTCATTTACATGCTTCATCAAGCATGGAACCATATCAAGCCAGTAGCTGTATAACATTGTTTTAAAATTGTTCTGCATCATTTGAGAAAGAAGGGATGGATATTCCCTTGCTTGCTAAACGGGCCTTGTTTTGGGAATGATGAAGCTTTGGACAGGGTTTTTTGTTGGTTTTGTTTCATTTACTTGAGATTTGTTAATATGATTGTTCTGAATGTAGGGGCTACTAAAGGAATACTTAATAACTGAAAACAACTAATGGATAATGCTAAAAACTAGTTTAGGGTAACCAATAGCCGTGATCATAGAGTATTTGGATCCAAGTGTGCTGTGGTCTTTTACACCTCAAGCAGAGTAGTGAGAATTTTCTGTTTGTTTTGGCTCTAGTCATGGAAAATGCTGTATAAACCAGTGCCAGCTTCTAGAATTCAGTACAGCACACTGCCTGTATCTTTAAGTTACACATCTGTCTCTATCCTATGCTTGCAGCATAACAGGTCTGCACTGCTCTTTATTGAATCTTAATTGGGAATATCAGTCTAACCATAAAGTTTTCACTTGACAAGCAGCTAAATAGACAGACTACACAAGAGTACTCACATGCATAAACATACAGTCCGGAGGTAATGCGTATTTTCCTTAGGAAAACAAGAAAGTCAATTATATTACTGATAAAAATACAGATTAATTTTATTTTTAATTAAAACTTGGCTTTTCCAAACAAACTATTTTTTTTATCAAATATTTAATATATCTTGTATCTTAGTATGCGCTTGTGTGAATTGGCACAACACTGCAATGCTCAAATTCATTATCCTATGGTAGAACACTTAGCTGTCTAAAGAAAAATTTATTTTTTATCATGCAGAGATTTTATTGGTTCTGAATTTGGGGTTTTTTATTCAAAGAGTTGATGTAACACTTGTATGCAACAGTATATCCAATATGTAGTATCACCTCTGTAGCATCTGGGTTTGTATGAGTATGTAGATAATAATATCAGTAGAAGTAATATCCCCGGTGACTTTTGGTGTTAGTGCTGAACAAATGTTTTAGCAAATAGCTTGTTTGAAAAAAGGTTAGCTTCAGGTCTACCATCTTGAGCATGGGTTAAATTCAGAAAATGGTTTCTATTCTCTTCTCTTTCTTCTTCTTAAAAGAGATGGGGTAAAGTAATAAGAAGCAAAGCCTTTCAAAATGAAGTATTTCAGAATTTATACAAGCTTTTTTGAAGTTATCAAGATCAGAAATCTTTTAATTCATACGCAAAGTTGAATAATGTATTATTGCACATGTTCAGGATTTTTCACAAGTACAAAATTAGTCATATGCAGAAGATCTGCAGGAGCATGGTTTAACTATGACTATTTGATCTTGCAGCTTTTATTCTAGCTAGAAATATATAAATATCTTAATGATTAAGCATTTATGAGTAAATCTCCTGTGAAAGTCAAAACCGCTAGGCTTTAGAAAGGATACTGTAGGTGAAGTTGTGCAAGCTTCCTTGTGGAGCTGTGCCAGTGCATGGGAATCTGAATCTGAAAAGTACTCTTTATTCAGATACTGGACAGCAGGCTTTTGGTGTGGCAAATGAAAATGAGTTTTCAGAATTTATTCCTCTTTGAAAACAAAACTTGTTTGAAAGCTAGTATCTCACAGAGAAAATCCAGTGAGCTTAACTCTGTGTTGCCTGGCATTTCTGTGCTGGAGAAACAGTTCTCCAGTGAAGCAGTAGCATATTTCACTGTCATGTTCAACGATTTTCAGATTTTTTTGTATCTTTTCTTTTTAAGATGTTTTCTTAAGTATACAGCTGAGGAGACCAATAACAAAAAGATAAATCCATAGATGATGAAAGGATTTTCTTGAGCTTAGTAGTTAACATAATAGTTTGAAAAGAATTTACAAGTACTTGTTCAAGTGTGCTTTGTAGAGAGTGAATAAAATAAACAGCAAGATGTGTTGTGATAGGAACTCAGATGATCAAAAGGAACTACTGAATAGACATAGTTATTCTTTCAGATAAAATAAGGAAGTAATTCCTTTGTGAGTTTTTGTGATCATTTCTGTTGGAAAACTTTGTATGCATTACTCAGAAATTCAATGAAGAGGAAAGCAATACAGCCTAGATAATAGTGTCAGCTTTGAGCATGAGATGGCATGTGGACATAGCTTGAGCTACTTCTCCAAATCATTTGAATGGAAATATTGGATTAGTTAACCTTGTGTCAGGTCTGTTAGTTAAATAAATCCTCCAACTGTTCCTGACTGAAGGTTGCATAGTTGTGACTGAAAGATGCTGCTGCTTTTCATTAGAATTTTGTCAAACATATCCTGCTAACATAATGATTTTAAAATAAAATGGTTTATTCGATGGAAAAGGATAACAAGCAGAAAATTCACAGCCTTTTCTTTTCACAGGGTGTTTCAGCCCAGTAGGAAATCCTCCTAGCCGAACACTATTGGGTAGACTACAGATGGTATGGAATTCTCTTTTTGCATTTTTTTTTTTAAATTGATGTTTAACTATAAAATGTCATTATTCACAAGTTCTCATTGTAGAGAGGTGGTTTTTTTATCCCGTCTTTATTAAAAAAAGAGGTATCTTCAAGCCAGTTGTCTACATAGGCAAATTAGCTTATGCTGCAGCCAGCTGGTAGGAAGATCAGATATCTGAAAATCAAAAGCTTTATATTTTTTTCATTATTTACTTTTTGTTGTTTAGAAATAAATAAGCTAGAATCACCCTCGAGTTTTTTATTATTACTGAGAAAGAAGGCATTCATAAACAGCAAAAGAAAGCTGAGACAGTTACTGGGAATGAAATTCTATTTGTAGCATGATGTTTTCGTTGTTTACTGTTTCATACTTCATCTTTTTGTAACAAGTGAAATCACAGATATTCTCTTGCTTATTTAACTGCTTATCTATTAAATATTGATTGTAAGCTTCTACTGATTATATTTGTTCCTTTGTTTATTTCTGGTTTCCTGATCACCATAATAAAAATCGAACAGAATCTGTAAATGCCATAAATTCCAACTTTACATTTGATAAACTTGTATTAAACACAAAATGTATGGAGGAACTAGTGACAGAAGAACAAGTGGTGCTTCTGAATAGTGAATGCATTTGTATCTCTATGAAGCTGAGCCTCTTGTACTAGAGATGTTAATCCTCCTGCACTCATGAACAGAATGCCATGGTTTATTATTCTGTTGTAATTGCACTACTTGTAATTTTTGAGAGAAATATTATAAATGGACGCAATTTAACTTTGATCATTTATACCTTTTGGTATATTTATATCATTTATACAATTTGGATTTGGGGTTTTGGTTTGGATTGGTTTAGGATTTTTTTGATCCTGCCTTATTTAATAGAATCTGTTAATACAGTTGTGGAAGGCTTGTAAACTAAGTAGAATTCACCAAGGAATTTGAAAGTGTGGTTTTACGTTGCTGTTTTGTTAGTGGTTAAATGGTTCTTGTTTTCACACTTTAAATTTTTTGCCATCAATATATATTTTTTAGGGAAAAGTATAAATTGTTCAACCAGTACATTAGTGCTCTCCACCACAGCAAGCTTGATAAACATTTACAGGATCAGCTCTTTTGTAAGATACTAAATAGCAACTAATTTAAAATAGTTTTTTCTGAGGGGGCTAAATTAAGGGTTATATTTGAACACTGAGTATTGAATATATTTGTTGTTTCTCCTATTATAAATGCAGTAATATGTATGTAAGTGCAGGTTAACCGAATAATTAATACCAAAAAAGTAGCATATTTAGAAATGGTGAAATAGTTGAAGAGGTTTTAAATAATTTCAGGAGCTGGAGTATTTCACATGCTTCTGAATTGATCTTTTCTTCCTTTTCCTTTTTTCTTTTTTTATCCCTGTAGGCTTTACTGTAGCAGCTGTGTTTGCATTTCTTATTTCTGTTTGTATGTTGCAGGTTTCAGTAAAGTGCAGTCTGCTGCAGGTTCTTTTTTCCTCAAGGCAAATTATACATTCCCATGATTATTAAATATTAAAAGGCTGTGATCAAATCAGGATTGTAGTCATCTGAAGTGTAAGGAAGTAACTTTAAAGTTTCTATGGACAGATTAATTACAACTGAAGAAGAGTATGGAATTCTTAGCAATTGATACTTTTGGAAAAATTTTAATTTACCTATTAATACAAATACTTGTACTTCTGTTTCCCACAGACTAAATTTGTAGTTAGGTGTCACTAATGGGAAAAAGAATGCATTGGACCAGAGAACAAGAACAGAAATATGATAGTGCTGACAGTATTCGTCTGTTTTCTTCTAAGTCTCAGCTTATTTAGCATTTAATTTAAAACTTCAATTACTGCAGTAAAGAGATTGCATGACATTTTTAGGAGAGGAGACAATTAAGTAAAATTCTAACTCTTTGAATTTCTAACCCTTCATAAGAAAAAAGGAAGACAATGTAGCAACAGTAAAATCTCAGGTCTATTCTGTAAGATTTTTAAATGTTTTAAATATTATCTTTTAAGCTAACCAAGAGTTTTCAATCAAGCTGTATAAGTTAATTTCTCATTTTGTCTTCTTTAAAAAAAAACCAAACCAAGAAGCCACCATAAACCAAAAGCAGCAACAAAAAAACCTGAAAAGGTAACAGTCTTAGAACCTGGACTATTACACACTGAGGCACAGATTTACTGGATAGGCAAGAGAAGCTGTAACACACATTCCTTGTGTGTTTACTGGACTGTTTGTATAAGTAATATTCCCAGTTTCTCTTCCATTCTGGCAGATGGCAGGTATAGGGAGGTGGAGTGGAGAGAAGTAGTGGCGCTGTGCAGCATTCAGGAAATAGTTGTTTGTCCTTCTTCATGTCACTGAGTCTGTCACTAATGGGAAAAGGAGAGAGGGTGGCTTTGGCCCTGTATGCATACACGTTAGGGTTCCCATTGGTGTGTGTAGTGTCGCCTAAAATTAGTCTTAGAAAAGCTTATTTTTCAAGTGTTGTCATTAAGAGGTAATGACTAACTCTTAGAAGTGGGACTTAATCTGTATGTTTATTCTTTTACAATGAAGAATATGTTTACCTATAAGGTAAAAACATGGAAACATCATTAGACTTTGCATTTTTCCGTATTTTTCTTTAAACTTTGATAATGTGGTAATTGAAATATATTGATTCAGTAGGACAAATGAAATGCTGAGACTTTTACTGAAAAGACAGTAACAACTGATCACTTGTTCTTACTCAGTGCTCCTTCTCCTAAGAGGATGAGAGATATCTAATGCCCAAATCCTGTCGGCTGCTATACATCTGCATCAAAAAAGCAAAACCTCCATTAGCACAATTACTGAAACTGCCCAATTAAAAAGAAGCCATAAACATTTTAATTAGCGTATTATCAGGAATTGATAACACTTGATACAACAGTGTATCTATTGGTTTACTGTTAGGTGCAACGTTCTCTTTTGTATTAGTGTCTTGAAACATTTTTGTTTGGTTTTGAGTTAGAAATTTCAAGGGTATCTAAGTGAGTTAGTCATGGATAACCAGTGTGATACTCCATGGTCTAGAAGTCTGCATGAATGACTGGATCTATTTATCTTCCTCTGAGGATGTTCCTTTAATGCTGAAAGCTCCTAACAGCTTTGTTCAACCAAAATCAGTGTGACACGGCAGACTTTTTCAGCAAGGATTTCATTTCTGTTTCTCACAGATGTCTGCCTCCCAAAAAGACCAACTCCTTGGAAGATGGCTATAGCCCCACATCTGTTCCAATGCAAAAAAAGGATTATCTAGTTTCCATCCTGCATGAAAAAAAGGAGACATTAATATTGCGTTAAGAATTATGTATTCATACATTACAGTATGTCTGTTGCTTTTTTGGAATCCTGAAAATGTGCCTTAGTCTTGTGACACAACATGTAAAAAATTATGTTTCTAAGCTGAAAGGCCAGTAGTTTTAGTTGGATGTTTCTTGCAGTGTAACTAGTAGTTGGCACTATTTGAGGAATGGCATGGCATGGAAGAGGCAACTCTTCTGCCTTGCAGTAGCTACATTTGTGGTAGACAGCTGAAAAGGGGTCATATAATGATAATTGAGTTTGATTTCTTTGAATCACAGCTGTGGCAATTGCCAGGTAGAGCCAGTGACATACTCAGAGTATCTATCTCTTTAAGAGGCACCTCTATGGATTGTTGTTGCTTAAAAGTTTAAGGCAGTGTCTGAGAATATTCAACGTCATCGCAGGGTGATTCATGGATTTTAGCTTGTTATTTCCAAACAGCTCACTCTCTTCAAGCTCTTCTTGAGTGTTTGAGAGCCACATAAATACTTTATTAAAAAGAGAGAAAGAGAGAGAGACAGATTGAGACACAATAATGGGGCAATATGAATACCTGAACTAGATATCTAAATAATACTGCTAATAATTCTGATGAATCATTTTTGAGCAACAGGAGGCACTCCCATCCCACAGGCTAAGCACACTGCCTGTACAGTTCTCTTAACCTTGAGAATGGAAAATGAGAATTAGCTGAAACCTGTACAGCAGTGCTAACTACCAGTAGACCACTGAACAAGCCACATACTCTGAACTGCAGCTCCACCAGTCCTTGTTCGAAATTTGTTTATCAAATCAGGCAGTTACACTTTTTTTCTTCCTTCTGTGCATGTACATAATTACTCACAACTCTTTAGGTGGTAGGTTTAGATGTTCTGGTAGATGATGAGAATTGAGTACAACTGTTCACTTTTACACTGTGTTCATCTGTATATACTGTATGTGTCTGTAACTACTGTGACAGCTCTGAAACAATCTGGAGACTGGATGGAACCTCAGGATAGTCAGTGATTTATTTTCCATATAGGATAAACCAAACTAAGTTATGAAGGCAACATTGAGGGCAAGGATCTCTGTTCTTGAGAATGCCATTTATTCTGCTGAGGATTTGCAATGATTTTCTTTGTAATATGTAATGACATTCCTTGAACCATACTGATAAAAAATAAAAAACCCTATTGAAAATAAAAGGAGCACTATATTTTAGATACATTTTTTTAAAAAGCAAGAGAAGAGAAAGAAGTTCATGTAAAAGATAGTTAAAGGAGTGGCAGTAGAATATGAAAAAGGTGAAGTATATTGGATAAAAGTTTTCAAATTTAAGTGTTTATAAAGTGGTATATCTGTTAGAGGTAGAAATGTTTACTTCACAAATCTCACATTTGATTTTTCTCTTCTAAAATGTCTTAATTGCTCTGTAATATTTCTATTCTGTACTGTAGTGTATATCCTTTGACACATACAAAATCTAGGGGAAACTGGCTTCTCCTTTGTGAAGATCGACCACTGAAAAAAATTAATACCAGCAAAGGACTTCCAGCTCTTCCTTTTTTTTTCTAGTTTGTTGTTACTCTACTAATTTTCTTAATTTTTCTATAATATATCTCCTTTCAACTGAAGCATTCTATTGTTTGACAGAAATAAATTTTTTTGGTACAGGCATATCCTGATTATTGCATTATATATCTACTATTCTTTTGAATTCGTTGGAAGTCTGAAGAGTGAGTGGTAAAGATAGAACAACTAGAATTAAATGGAAAGTTTTGGTTATTAAGACCAACCTGAAATTTCCATTATATAGAAGTGACATCTTTTACGTACTGGTTCAGAGGTAAAGTTCACTGCAACAACTTCTTAAATATCTGCTGTATTTGCAATGCAAACAAGATGGGACTGCGTAGTCACCAGTCCAGTTGTCTTTAGTGCAGTTTACATACTTGAAAAACTTGGTATCTTTTTTAAATATCTACCAACCAATAGCCAATATTACTCAGTGTTGCTTAACATCACTTCTGCTTTTTCTTTTTTAAAAAGAGCATTATATTACAGATAATTCTTATCATCTTAGTAGACATGAAAATACTCATAGTTTAACAAGATACTTCATATTAAAGTTTCAACATAATTTATTCTTCTAGAATGATGACAGCCTGACAGCACTGGGAGTGGGAGGAGGAAGCAGTTGTCCACTCGTGCAAGAGACAGTAAGTATTATGTAATTTTTTGCAGTATTTTCTATACCTGTTATACTGTATCTGTGCTTTTGAAAGCATGTTCCCTTTTTTGTAGCATGAAATCCCAAGGATTTTTTTTGCTCCCATAGATTTTGTAATTCTTACAAAGATGTTCATAACTGGCATAACTACATTAATGCTGGGTTTATATCACTCTTGAAAAACAATCTTGTAAAATTTTGTTGAATATAGAATTTTTTATTTTTCACTTGGACTTGGACACAGGCAGAACTTGACAAATGTTTGAATGTCACACACCAGAAGAAAGTCCAATGCTTTAGGCATAATTGTAAGTGGTTTACATTCTTCTTTGGTTCTGAGGTGCATTTCCTCTATCCCATCTTGGTCATTTTTCTGATCACATGTCTCCAGAGAATATAGTGGCAATTTCCACATTTCTTTTAAATTGTCAGGCCTACTAAACCATTTGTATTACAGGACACATTGGTTTATTAATTTCTTATTTCTGAGAAACAGACAATGGGACTTGCTTGATTGGTTTGAACTGTTTGTAGCAGTGAATTTTTGTAATATTTTCCAAAAAACATAACATTTACACCAGAACTATCTTAAAAAAGACACTGCAAAATGAAGTAATTGTAGCTCTACCTTTCATTGTTTTTCATGCTGCCAAGTAATTAGTGTTACATTCCTATGTTCCTTTTTGGGTTTAGTTTTTGGTGTTTGTTTTTTTTTTTACCTTAAGTGACCTCATGGTTTTCATGAAGTCGTCACTTAACTGAAGTGGGCACTATTAGAGCACCTCTTACTGGACATGATCACGCTGCTCATTAGCGTGGTTTAGTTTGCTTCTGTGCTACAGTTCATATTTCTAGATTGTCAACACCACCTGTAATTAGTGTATGAGCTTTCCTAATGCAGGGAGGAAAGTTATGATAAGGGTTATTTCATTGTTTAACTTCTTTATGTAAGTTCAGGACTTTTGAATTCATATTTAGATAAATTTCCTGTTTAGTGAGAACTATGCTGATACTAATTTTTGATACTGACCAGCTCAAAAATTGCCACATAAAATTTAAAATGGTATCATGGAATCAATGGAATCATTTACATCTTTTCCCATTTATAACTGATTTAATCTGTTTAATTGATGACATGGAATTTTGAAAATACAAGTGACATTGTCTATATTTTTACACATCTAACTCACAGGTGATCTTACTCAAAGTAGAAATACAAATATAAAAGCATTGTGCAGTTCAGCAGTCTTAAGATTTAAATGCATGCATGAGTAATAAAAAGGGGTTTTTTCCTTCAAATCCCTATCGTCATACTTTGTTATGTCCTTCAATCCCCTTAAACCTCCTATTGCTCCTAACAATCCCTGTCTTTGACCTCTTTACTTACAATTTTGTAGAGGAATCTGAGATGAAAATTATAGGTAGGGAAGCAGCATTCTGTGTCTAAAATAGGTCATAATTTTACTCCTCACTTATGATGAGGAAAGTGAGCAATTCCCTTATTGTTTCGGTTCATTTATTTTCTTTTCAAGCTTTTCTGCTTGGAGTTCACCAGGACAGATTTTTGTAGATAGGGTATAGGAAATAAATAAGAAATTGTACTTGATATTTTCATATTCAGGGTAGAAAGCAGGCTTCTGGTAATGTATTTTATGTAGTATGCATGATGCTGATGACTATTAGTATTCTTTTTCATAAAAGTATAGGTGCACTGTATGTCAAATGGATTTATTATGTGAAATGGAATTTAAATGTATTTTTAAAATATTTAAAAGATATTTTTAAAGTTGTGCATCCAAACCCTTATTTTTAAGCAAAACAAAGAAAAAAAGAAAGAAAAAAAAATTGAGTGATCAAAGCAAAACTTTGCAATCTCTTTTTGTATTAAATTTTTCCTTCGATAAAACTGTCAAACTGTTGAAGTATTTATTCAAACACATATGCTTCATGAGCACACAGAGAATGGGATCTGAAGGTGGTGTAACAATTCTGAGAAACTGAATGTATGAAGTTTTTTTTTCCTTTTGCTTCACAAGCAAATTGCTTATAAAACTAACAGCTGCTGTTTTGAAGCTAATCTTAGTGAATTGAATGTTCTTAACCATTTCTGCAATCCCACAGTCCTTTATCTTGCCTCTCCTGCTGCTTTCCCACCACCCCTGATCCCATTAGCAAAACTTGAGGCAGCCTCAGCTTTTACCAAAGTGCAGCTTTGGTTTCAGCTGCTTTTCTGCAAGAGGAAGTGAATGTTGCGCTTTTTTCTCTGTGGCATGGTTGTGATAAAGCTGTGGTGCTCTTATCTCTCTTTTAGGTAGTGGCTCTTTATGACTACACAGCGCATCGATCAGATGAGCTAACCATCCATCGCAGTGACATTATCCAAGTGTTATACAAAGATAATGATAACTGGTGGTTTGGCAGCCTAGCAAATGGACAGCAAGGCTATTTTCCAGCTAATTATGTGGCTGGTGAAAGTAAGTTTACTGCTGTCTTCCTGGTATACCGGTGTGGGTTTAACTGATGGTCCAAGATTTTACTGTGCTGTACTGCTATTGTTCTGAAGATAGGAATTCGTGTAGTACACACATGGCATAATGATGACTTATTGTGGTGCAAAAACTGTATATCTAACCACTTAGCAAGTTGACATACCTGACTTAGGAAGGTATGCTCTTGGTTAAACATTCCAGCTAATACAGTACTGACTTAATTATCTGTCAACTGGATTGATTCCTTGTCTCTTCTTACATATAGCAGCCTGGTTCATGCCCTACCTTGGTAATGATTTAGGACACATCAAAGCATTCTACAAACATCTTAGTTTTTTCTTAGGCAATCTCCCCTAGATCTAGCTTTTGTAAAACCTCTTAATTTTCCCCCTTCCATACTGGAGAATGTTCAGTTCCCAAAAAAAGTGGATTTCAGTATGAAGTTTTAAAAGAACAGTCATGGTTAAATGTCATATCTAAGCGTTGAACTTGCAACCAGGTACTTGTTATTAAAACAGTTTTGACTAAACTGATACAGACAAACCTAAATGAATCTGAACAAATAATATAGGAAGCATCCTACTTAGTCAACTGCTCTAAAGATGCTCAGTGTGTTGATAGTTGTTAGTATTCAGCTTGTGGACACAGCATGTGGTTGCATAGTACAAGAAATTCATTTGCCATCCTGAACTATCAAACTATCAGTTAGGCTGGTGTTTAGAAATCCTTTAACTCAACATTTCTCAAGATGTTTTCCCCCATTTTCTAGTTCCTCCCTCTGTCTTTTGAGTGAAATCTAGTATTTAAGCCTCTTTCCTAAAAAAGACTTGGACATAACACTGTGCTCACTTGAGGATAGCTAAAGTTAGATTTACTACTGCCCTTTCCCTTTGTGCTCTCCTTGCACATCCTGTGGATTTTCTCCAGCCTTTCTTCCTTGCAAAATAACCCAGAGAGAAGTCTGTAGGAAGAGTCTGCAGTGATGGCCTTAAAATATGTTCTTAAAAAAAAAAAAAAAAACAAACAAAATTTTGGAGGCAGTTGTCCAGCTGTGCAAAAAAATCTCTGGTAGATGTGTTATTTCAGTTGGTGATCGAATCATCTTATTATTGAATCAAAAGAAATGCATATGATACATTTATTAAGTGTCAGCTGCATTGCTATCAGTATGGACTTGGTTCTTAGGTAAATGTTTGAGTGCTTTTATTTTATATAATAACCAATATATAAATCACATTTAAATCTAAACTTACTAATATGAATAAAAGTTTATGGGAAAAATTTAATAAATTCTCATACAATGTTTGGCTTCAAACATTTTTCACCTGTTTCAGTTCACATCTGTTTTTGGCTAGATCGTAATGTCATGGTGGTTCACATAAATTCTTTCATGTCTCTCATAATGGCGAATTATGGTTCCTCTTTTCAGAAGAGTATGAAGAACAACCTTCAGAATTAGTATCAGATTCTGCTCCTCTTCTGCCAGAAGGACCAACAGAAGCAGAGGAAGGTTCTCTGACATTAGATAAGGTAACAATTTGAGAAGGAAGGATTCTGGAAGTAGTGTTATATTGTATCTCTTGTGTACACATGGACTGTATTAATTTTTGATCTTTTTTGTAAGAATTTCTTATGTGTAGACCTCGTTCCAGGCAAGCAGGTAGATTTTCAGCATCAGTCTAATGTTTGTCTTGCGTGGAATCAGCTGTTCTGTCATTTGGCAATTAAATATCCTGCTTATTTACACCATTGTAATGAGGGGCAAATCTCCCATTGACTCCAAGGTTTACAGAAGTATCTCTTACAGCTATCTGATGTAAATCATGGTTGAGGAAACAATATGGATTTGTCAAAACCTGACATAGTTTCAGGTGCTTGACTGTCGTTCTTGGAATATGCATTGCCCACATATTCTTCAGATTTTCAACCATGAAATTTCCTTATCTATGGGGTTACATAGGAAAGAGCTGGGATGTTTTTCTCTTGGGAGTTTTCCAGTTCTTGTAATATCCTAATTAAAGATACGCAATGTGATCATGAAGCCTTTATACCATATGAGGAGATATGCTGCATCTAAATGTGCTTACTTGTCGGTGGCTCTTTCTGTTTAAAAGCTGCTGATGGGTCTCCAATATGAGTGGCTGCACCTATCCTGTATGTTGCTTAGGAGGGTGAACTATAGAGACTTCATAGTTTGGAGGAGCAAAGGTAATAAAGGCTTTTGCCTCGACACTATCTACTATCTCTCCACTTCCACCATATACTTATACTGGGTTGCAATTGCATATGGCATTATGTTGTTGCTTACATGCCACATAAGCATTGTGTGCATAAGCATTCCTGTTTCTGTGATTTTAGTTAAAATACAGTATGTGCAGAAGGACAAAGAAGCAGGACCCAGTTTTTAGTCCAAGAAAAATTGAGCATTTGATTTTTATAGGGTTTTCTTTTCTGAGCTTTAGAGATTCTACTATGTGCAAAGCAGGCCACTTGATTCTCACTTCACTAGAAGGAGATTAGAAACTGCATAGCTTGTATCCCTTCTGTGAAATAAGACTGATGTTTGTTTTAAAACATGGGATAATTTGTAAGCAAAAAAAAAAAGATAAAAATTAGGTCAATAACTGTTAGAATTTAAGGAATTTTTATTTCAAAATATTTGTATCCTTAATAAGTGTACTTTTCATAACTATTCATTTATTCGTGTTACTAACATAACTACTTAAAAGTGAGTTTTGTTCAGATTCTTTCAGATTATTTGACTTTTCCACATACTTTTCTAAAATTGAATCTAATATTTTATGTCTGATTTGCAAGACTCAAAACTACTCCATGTTACTTTGTTACAATTTTGGGGATTTTTTTTTTTTTCAGATGATCTATCTAATTATAGGACTGTTTAGGTTGGAAAAGACATTGCAGTGTTCAAGGTTAAAATACTCAATGCTGTTTCTATTAACCTTTTTTGTGTAGCTTCTGTTTTTAGTAGGTGAATAGAGAGAGGTAGCATTTAATAAATTATTGAGTACAGATTACTCACTTAGCAGTTTTCTTGAAGCCAACTGCTATAAATTGAATTACTAAGTGTTTTGTCTCTAACTATACTTGAAAAATGGAATTAATCACTGCACCGAGTAGTAATAATTAATCTGAAGTATCTTTTACCTCTTTATAGCTGAGAAACTCATAGCCAAACCATTGTCCAGGAGAGACAAGGGTGCATTACTTCCAGGTACTGGCAGTAAAGGCAGACTTTAACAAATATGGGAAAAATTATGTTACTGAAGATTTCTTTCATTTGTTGTCTGTGTTGCTAGAGGCAAGGAAGGTATCCCAGAGGGAATATGTTGCTATAATCATCCAGTTTCACTTGTACTCAGATTAGAAAAGTGCTAAGACACCTGTTGTTATTAGACTTGATCATTGTTATCTGCATCTTTTTTTCTGTTTTTATCTAGTAGAAATCTAGTCAATTTACTGCATAAAAATACTTTTATGTGCACTAATGTTACTAACATTATTGCAACTAGTACTTGTTACTCAGCTTTGTGAGAAGTTAGCTTTGTGAGAATTAGTTCTGATTGCTTATAATTTTTCAAGTGTCTGTGGTTGACATTTTTCTAACACTAGGTTTTGTATTACTAGAGTACTTTTTTACTAACACTCGGTTTTAGTAATTTTTAATTGAAATACTCTTTACTTGGATTCTACTTGTACTTTGAGTTAAATTGACTACATATTTAATAATTAGTTGGAATTTTGTAGTAGTCTATATAGTACATATAGAAATTCAAAAGATACAATGAAGCAAATGTACAATGACTGTCCAAAACAAAGCAAATACGTTGCTTTTTATCTTGCACAGCAGCTGAGGGCACTACAAAATCGTGAAGAGCCCAGAGGGAAGTTATGAAATATTTACAAGTCCTGGAAAAAATTATATAAGAGGATATACTTACAAGTGGAGAGAGCATATAAAGTAGTACCTGATGTGAATTGGATGCACTCTTCTTTGTTTTATTTTTTTTTTCCTTCTGCTGTTAAACAAGATCAGGGAACATTAATCTGGAATGGAGCACATCTAATTGGTAGAAGGAAATTTTTGTTTATGCCTTGATAAACCTACTACAAGACACTATTAAATATATGTGCTTAGAGATTAATTGCTTTAACGCATTTTAGGCTGAGGTAATGGCTGAAATTCCAAAAAGCATCTGAATAAATGGGAAATGCAGATCTGACTGATTTTTAAATTTCAAGTCACATCAACACCAAATAAATCATCAAAAAGATAAGACAGTTGAATCAAATTATGAATCTAACCTCTGTAAGACTTGTGATGCCTTGAAGTGTAGTGGGTTTACAAAAGCAACAGAGTTCTGCTTAGAAGAAACAAATTGTCATAAATGTTTGTCAGCGTGAATGAAAGTTCTGCAGTGCTTTGACTTTAGGCAATACTGGATACTTCTGAGACAAAGCTGCTAAGGTGACCACTGAGGGGGCTGATCAGTTATGGCAGTTCCTGTCTTGCAGTAGTGACACAGCAACTTTTCTTCCTATTCCTTACATTTTTTTTTTTCAATGTAAGACCAGATAAAAGGAAATACCAATTTCTTTTACATGGGACATAAGAAAAATCATTACTTTGTAATCCCTATGTGTTTTGTTTGGTTGGGGTTTTTTGTTTCTTTTTTAATCCAAATATATTTTAATTAATAATTAAGTTTTTGTTTAAGTTGTTACCACAAGCAGGAAAATATAATTCATTCTTTGGTTGTCTTTTGTTTTTGTCCACAAGCATGTTTCCCCTAATATTTAGTTATACCTAGGTTTGCTATATTATTCTTTCTGGGTTTTTTTGGAGGATTGCTCAAATATTTAGCTCTGTTAAGCCTGCAAAACAGTTACTGTGAAAATCATTATAGAAATTACCTGTGAGATTTTACTACCACACAAGACTAAATAGGGCACTTAAAATGTTGAATATGACTATGGTTTTAATTACTGAGAATACCAGATAGTCTAATTAAAAATAGTTTTCCAACTGCAGATATAACAAATGCATATCTAGCTAATCATCAGAGTTTTATGAGTGAATAAAGTGGAATTATTAACATTAGAAGAGGGTGTAATACTCAAGATCCAATATTAGTCTTTGCAAATAATTAAAAAAAAGGCTGTAGTTCAAAGGACTTGCTTTCAAAATTCTTTCTACCATCAGCTTTGCATTCGTAACATAATAATTTTATGCAAACCTTGTTTTCCTGCCTTATGAGTTACTTAACTCCTGTGCCACAAAATTAGGTCATAATCATCTTTAATTACAACATACCTCTAAACTGCCAATAGAAATTTCATGGAGTGAAGGTGTCGCTGCACTGATGAAGAATTCCAAGAAATAAAGACAGACTTATCATCTCACTGCTCCAGTAAATGTGCTGTTTCCAGGTTCCTTAAGATGAAAGTGGAAAGGACAGGAATTCAGATAGGGAAGAAACAAGAATGTGGGTTTTGCAAAATTTTGGCAAATTAGAAGCATTTCAAAGTTGATAGTATGGGGGGTTTTTAACTAGAAATTTTCCGTTGTCTATGAAGTCTTGGGAATACGTTTCATAATTTTAAGGTGGCCTACCACTCACTACATAAAATGCATTCTAACTATTAAGTATGCAATTCCACATTACATGAAAATAGTAGGAAGTAGTAATAGACAAAACCAAAATTTAATTTAATTTAAAATTTTCATTAAAAGTGTAAGAAAATAGTTTTCTAGTATATTTATCTTTGAAAAATTATACCAAGATGTAAAATAATGGTCATAAGCATCAAAAGGGTTGCTGTCAAAAACCACATTCTTATTGCACAATTTGGATAATCTGCCCAAAGATCATCACAACTTGATTCCATGTCTATTTAAATAAAGTTTGGGATTATCACTGTTCACATAAATAATTCATGCTCTCACTCTTCTTCCCCTAGAGAAGGTTGTTGTCGGACTTTGTGAATATTTAGTCCACTATGTCTGAAACTAACTTGCCAAGCAACTGACGCTTTTCCCCTGGGCTTGAGCTCCTTCTGTATGTATGTCTTTGTGGGCTCAAAATTTTTTTATTAAATCTAAAGCTTTAAAAAGCATAGAAAACTTGCTTTTGCTTTCCAAAAATAGTAGCTAGAAATTTTTCTATTAATGTAATCAAAAATTTTATTTTAGAGTTTGTGCAGTTTCTATTTTCTGTAATGGTGCCTTTCTTCAGTTTACTGGGAAACACTTCAGTGGCTGATTACCTTTTAGGAAGAGGAGGAGGGAATAGAAGATGTGATTATGATAATGAGGGAAACACTGAGAAATTAATACAATGAAACTCTTGCAGTGAATAGAGCTGAAGACTTTCGACACATCGCAAAGTGTGTTCATTTTCAAGGTTCAGAGAGGTTGCAGCTATTAAAAAAGCGATATTCAATTGAATTAGAATGTATTATAGTGAAGTTTGTAAGTCTGGGCTTCATTCATTGCTAATATGATTACAGATCTCTCTTTCTGAAAGTATTGATGTCTAGGCTGAAAGAAACTATGCTTTTCTAGAATTGGTCTGCAAAACTGCTGTGTAGTCTTCCACATAAATCGTTGAATGGCATTATGAAATAGATATATCTTTACAAATCCTACTTTCAAAGTAGTAAGGACTTTGATTATTCTTTAAGAAATCCTCCTTTTGAAGGAAATGTTACTGTGGCACCATCTTATGAGGAATGGGCCATTTTTCTGAAAGGTTACCCAACATTAACATATTTCAGCTTTTGAGTTCTGTAGTTTCCTATTTCTTGGTGCTCTGTTTTCCCTTTAAAATGCAGTTTTTACTGTTCAAGTTAGAGTTATAGAATCACAGAATGCTAAGGTGTTGGAATAGAGCAGAGTAGAGGGGGAGAATCACCTCTTTGAACCTGCTGACCATGTTCCTTTTGATGCAACCCAGGAGACAGTTGGCTTTCTGGGCTGTGAGCACACACTGCCAGCTCATGTTGAGTTTTTCATCAACCATCACCCCCAAGTCTTTCTGTGCAGGGCTGCTCTCAATCCACTTCTCCACTCAACATGTAGGTATGTTGAGGATTTACCATGACCTGTTTATAGGACCTAGACTCTTCTCTTTGTTGAACTTCGTGAGGTTTGCATCAACCCACCTCTTAAGGTCCCTCTGGATGGTATCCCTTCCCTCCAGTGTGTGACTGCACCTGCAAGATGAATTACCCTTTCTTAAGCATGTGTGTTACTACTTTGTTTGTAAGCTGGTAGCTATGTGTTGTGTCTCAAAAAATGTTTATACCTCTGTCTATAGTATTTAAGAAAGAGAAGGTATCTGGTTTATAAGCAAATAATTATCTGTTAGGGGAAAAAAAAGAAGAGATTAAATACTCATTTACTGTAAGTGCCCAGTCTGTTTAAAGGTAGGAAGAATCAGGCTGAGCCACTGAACTGGTCAAACAGAACCAAAAATACTGTTGAGGGACACATATTACTAAGATAGCTCTCACTACAAGCCTAGCTTCTCTCTTCCCCACATTTTCTCCTTGGGTCCTCATAGCCTCTTTCTGAAGAGAATTAAACTATTTTTATGCAAATCTTAGGCAAAGCTGTGACCACAGATAAATTCCCAAAGGCCGAGACTTCAAGACTGAAAACAGCTGCTCTAAACCATACTGCTTCAGTCTGAAGTATCTTGTCTCCACTCTTCCTCCTCCTCCTTTTGTTGTCCCTCAAATACTCATCTTGTGGATTTGATTTCTGAAATACAGTATTCGTCAAGCCGTGCTTACAGTTTTCACCCACCAGATTTTTCCTTTTGTGCAGAAGATAGAAATCCATGCCAATGTCTGTGGTATACAGAGCCATTGTTCCACTAGATGATCACAACTAAGTTAATACTGTTAGACATAAGGGTTAGAACACGGTCAATCTGATTTAGATAGAATTGTTCTTAAAAATGCTAGAAAGGGGAAAAAAGCAATCATAAGTTAATTGCATTTTAAATAGGAAAGTCTTGGCAAAAGAAATATATGTAATTCTGCTAGCAAAGATCCCTACCAGTTGTTCATTTAATCAGGAAGTGTGTGGACGGGTGCAGAATAGCAAGAAAGAAAATGATGAGTGTGGTGTCACCACATCTCTCTCAAACTTGACTTGTTATAACAGTTTTGTCAGGAGGCATCAGCAGCGTTCTGAGGAGTTAAACACATGACTATGAGTCTTTTATCCATGGACTGTGTAATAGAAAACAAAATAAAAACTGAATACTGAGTCCGAAAGACTAGTCTGAAAAGGCAGAGAGACATGTTCATTCTTGCCATCTCTGATCCAGTGAATCTTTTATTAGATCAAGTTCTGTAGAAACAACTTTTATGGGAGAGTTCCTCTCTGCAGAGTAGGCTATGGAGCAAGCTCATTTGCTGTCATGGCTTGGATCACCTGAATAGATCTTCTGCACCACTCCATTCTGTCCATCTACCTCTTAGTCTGTCAGAGAACCTCTGCAGACCATCAGTCTTAGTGACGACTCTGCACAGCCTAGAGTAAAGTACTGCCAAAGATGTAGACTTGGGATGAGACTTTGGCACTAGTATTTCCTTTAGATGTCCTCTGCTGCAGCTTCTGCTAGGAAGTATGTTCTGATATATCTGATTGTTTCCATGAGTTGCACAGGGAGGGTTTAGTGCTTGACTTACTGGTGTGGATTCTACAGCAGGGATTAGGAACTTGATATACTTTTGAGTATTTTGCCTTTACTTGTATTGCCTTGGTTGCTTCTTGTGTGGCATCACAGAGAATAGTAAGTATGAAAAAAAAATGTGCTGTAAAGCGAGCAAACCTTTTAGAAAAGGAAAATATGTATTGTGTTACAATTTTTATGATCATAAACAAAGCAAAGGAAACTTCAGAAAATCCAAGCTTCTGCAGTTGATATGAACTGATGTTCTCTTCTCCTTCTGGTGGATTGTATCTCTCAAAGGATAGAGAATTAGAATATGGCAACAAAATAGAACACCATTAGTGGCACTCTGCAAAGGAGCTAATTTTTTCTACTGTGTTTAGTATTTGTTCTTGCGAACAGAAAAATACGCATAAGTATCAAATATTAGGGTGTTTTCTTTAAAACAAACACTGCCCTAATAATTCTGTATTAATATTTAAGATCTGCAGTCTGGATGAATGTAATAACTAACACCATATCTGGTCCAATGCTAGGTTTACTGAATCTTAGTACAGACATAGTGACGATAGTGCAGAGCTGTTTGGAACTTCCTTGGAGATCTGCCTGTGTATAACAAGTGATTTCAAAATGGTTTTGAAATCAAAACCATTGAGAGGTTTCAAAATGGACAAAGATGAGATCAACAGCCTCTTCAGCTCCTCCAAACTCTAACCTTCTCTGGCTTGCTCCTTACATTGATATGTCCTCAGTGAATTCTCAGCATGTAAATGTTACCACCACCTCCTGAGCCAAATACCTCCTGCCTGTTTTTCCAGCCTCCATTTACTCTGCTGTGCTCCTCTTGCTGCTTCATCCCCTTGTTTCACCAGCTCCTGCACCAGCTCCTTGGATCTGCTGCTGATCCCTCTTGTTCCTTCAGTAGTTACTTCTTACATCCCCAGGATGGGAAAAGTAGTTCAAGGAGTAGGTTAAGAGGGACACAAAGGTATGTAGTGTAGACAAAAGAAGGTAGCAGCAGTGAAATCTGCTTCAAAAAGATCTAGTACCTAGTTCCCTCTTCATTACATGCTTTAAAGATTGTAGGAATGAGGTAAGAAACCTATCATACTCAAACACTGCTGTGGAGAATTGGGAGTTATTCTCTACAGACCCTAGGAATTCTCATTAGTTGCCATGTGTGGAGAACACAGCTAGTGGAATGTCTCCAATTGTGTGCTTTTCTTTCCTTGGTACTTATACTAAAGAGCTGTGCTTTAATATGTAAAGCCTATGTGATGAGGTTTTTTTGATCATAAGAATTTTCACTTAGGCACATTAATTTAGTGGATACTTTAATCTTCTAACTGTAAAACAGGTATAATTTTCTGTGTTTATGTGTCTGAAAGTGTTAAAAATCTTAGTCTAGTTTTATAAGAGGTCAGTCTTCTATAGTAACACTTCAGGGAATTCTACCTCACTGTTCTTTGGAATGGTTTATATTTGATTATAGTATTAGTACAGTGAGGAGATTCTGTAATATTTACTCAAAAAAGAGGGTTAAAAAATGGTCCAACATCATTCACACAGGATTTTCAGAAAAAGATTTTGTTTTGACTGCAAGCGAAGTGAATTCACAATTGTGTATGGCAGGGAACCACAAGGCTGTAAGTGCTGAAGGAAGTATTAATTACTCGGAGTCATTCCCTTTACAACACTCCTTTGTATTTTCATATCAGTGGCATTATATTTCCTTCTTTTGTGTTTACTTTTACCATTGACTTAGTCTCAAGTTTATTGCTGTATTAACAAGGATTTTGTGTGTGAAGTACATGATTTTTCTTCCTAGCTCAGCTACTTATTGTATTCTAATAGACTGACTTTTGTCTAAACTATTCCAGCAATCTGTGTTTTTTCAGCAGACTAATTCCAATGACTAATGTTTGAACATGGTTGTTGTGGGCAGTGTGCTCATATGAATTCAGTAAGTCAATGAAAGCTTGATCCTGTTTATTCCCAGTCAGCAGAAAAATATTAAACTTATAAAATAATCTGTCCCTGAAGATTCAGGAAGGGCGCTCGCATTTCCTTATGGGAATTCCTGCAGTAATTGTGAGACCTGTTAGAATTAGAAGAGGTTTGTTTGTAGAGGGAGCAATTTGTATAGAGACCCACTAATTAGGGTGGAAATGAGAGAATTTACTTAAACTTTTCCAGGTTTGGGGGGTCTTCCTAGCCCTGAATTATAAAGTAACCTGGAGTGATTTCAACTACTTTTGAGTTAAACTTGCAGGTTTAACCCACAGGTTTATCTTGTTAAAACTGTGCAATAAGGTGTCTTTTTAACATTGTGCTTTTAATCTTGTAGGAGCAGAAATAACTTTATTCTTTACAGACCATGTGTATTTTAAGCTGATTTCAAGCAGATTCATAACCATCTGTTTCTACATATACCTGAAAACTGTCTTTTATTTGCAAGTAGCTTTTTTTTTTTATAGCAGGGTGCTGTTTCCTTGTTTGTAACCACATAGGAGTTAACATTTTATGGCTGATAGACATTCTTTTTCAAACGAGGTATATTCTCTCCTTATTCAGGAAGCTGGTGGGTTTTCTATGCACATGTGTTGGCCCTCTTGTCTGTCTTCTTTTTACCTTCCTGCCTTTTCTTTTTTCTTTCACAGATGTCACCAGTCATTAGCAAGTCAGGGGACCTAAAATTTGTCTCCAAGCGTGACACAGATAGAGACTCACCTGCAACACAGTAAGCAAGAAATAACTTAAAACAATTTGCAGTTTTTTCTACAACTGCTGTTTGAAAACTATGAAAACGTTGGAAGGCTTATTTTGTTTTATCAAGCAAAACAAGAATTAGCTTTAAGATTATCAGTGAGAGCGTGCTTCACACTCGAAATGTGAAATAAGTTACAGTTCATGTATATCTGCACACACAGATGTGCATACACACTCTATCCTCAAAAAAGCAAGGGCTATAATGTATATGACAATCAAAACTCAGGGATATGACTCAGGATATGGGGCTGTCCGCTGGCATGCCTTAGCTATGTATTAGGATTTATTGCTACAAACTTTAAACTATTTTTGCGCCTTCTAAAAATTAATTAATGTGAATTGTGATTGTCACATTCTAAGAAGGCGTGAACCAGCGTCTTTGATGGTGACACTTGTATTTTTTAAAAATCATATCTGTTCATTGCGTGAAAGCTGTAAGCAGATAAGATCTCAGTGTTTTAAATAAGAACTTCCACAATATCTTTAGCTATTATAAAACCATTTGTACTTCAAAAGTGTATTTGAAAATACTTCCTGTGTCTCCCATTATATCTGTCACCTAAGAAAAGTTATTTCACTGATTGTTTTCCACACTGGTCCCCTCCCCATATAAATAATCTGTGCATATATGCTGTAGATGCAGATACATATCTGATTTTAACCTGCTTTTAAATTTTAATTTTATATCTCTGTCTGTATAAGGTGTGAGTGGAAAGTTTAACCCTCATGTATGATGAGGAATGGGCTGTATAATTACACATTGACAGAATTCAGTGTTGAATTTTGGGCATAACTATTCTGATAGTATGTACATTAAGGAAGGAAATGCCTAAAATGCATAGTTACTGTGATGGTTAATACAGTCTGTTAGAAGTCAGTATCAAAAATTTGGTATGACTCAACTCCATAGTAGAACTTCAGGAAACAACTATTTTGAGTGAGCTTTCCAGGGCATCCACTGAAAAATGTGCCATTGCAGATTAATCATAGAATCATAGAACCAACTGGGTTGGAAGGGACCTCTGAGATCATCAAGTCCAACCCTTGATCCACTACCGCCGTGGTTACTAAATTAAAATGTGGAATCACAAATAATTTAAGCAAATTCAAGAATTTCGAGTCATAACATATGTGAAATGTTCATTTTAGTGGAAACTAAGACTGTCCTGACAAAGAGGTCACACTGAAGAAATAGAGCCCCAAAACCACTTCAGTTACATTTAGGAAAGGTGAGAGAAAACACCTACATGCCTGAGTCACTGAAATGTGCTCCCTCCTCCTGAACTATAGGGAGCATCACAAAGATTCCAGTCTGAATTCATGCATGCTCCATGTCATAGTACTTCATAGCAGTGACTGTGCGTACCAAGTTTCTTTCAGAAAAGACTACAAGCTTCTGCCTTATTTTGAGAGCTAAAAGAGAGGAGGATCCTCTGACACTGCTGGTGCTATTAGTTTGACAGATCTCACATATTTCTGTTTATACAGGACAGATTAGATAATAAAACATCTCAGAAACATGGCTGCCTATTTTTCATGAAAACTCTCACTTCATTGTTATCAGAAACATGACCTGCAGGGGCTGTGACAGAGCTGTAGTTTTCTTGCCTACTGCAGTTGATGTGTCTGAAATATCCTTAAAAAATCACATGCATGCTAGTATTGCCATCTTAACTGGAAAAGTTTTCTGTTTTAGCATCTAACAGCAGTATCAACATGCCCTGAGGTCCAGTTCAACCTGTATTTAAATAGTTGCTCCACCTAAAACGTACTGTTATTCTTCTGTTTTCTGTGAAAATACCTTAATATCCATCTCACATCTATGTATATGATAGGAATTATGTAGTAAATAAATTTCATAAGAATCAAGTGAGATGTGATTGCCAAGTACATGCTTTCAGTATGGAGAAGTGAAACTGTAAACACCTGCACAACTCAGTATGCCAAATGAATGATTGCTGTTTTGCCTTATTAGAGCAGTATTCATTTTGGCCACGATACCTGCTGTAAAAGAAAATGAATGGAAAGTGCTTAAGACATGTCTGTCTTTGAGAATTTCTGGATGGAAATTAAAGTTTTACAGTAGGAAAGCTAAATTTTATGCAAGATGGTAGTAGACTTTTATCTTAGCCAAGCAGTTAACCTATCTTCTGCAGACTCTGGAAGATACAGAGAATTGTCCATATAATAGATGCTCAGTGGTTTCAATCTAAGTGTCTTGTTTTGATACATCATCGCATCTGATGTTCAAATAATAAAAAGATGAAAACTGCTTCTCAAAATTAGAGTAGCTTTACATTGGAAACCAGCATAGTAACCTCATAGTAACCTTTGAATATTAATGATTAGATACTACTTGTCAATACAGACATTATCTCCTTAGATATATTCCTGTTATACAGTTCTGTTGAGCTGCACAGTTTTGTAGTGCTCTCTGCATGAATTTACACAAGACCCAGCTGAACACTCAGTTTGGTACACTGGTACTTACATTACTGACAAATTATGATTTTTATTCCGCAGTTTCCTTATGCTGCAATACTTCTCCAGTTATTCTAGAAATCATAACACAGAAGGTCTTAAACTCCAGAACCTTTTCTTTAAGATGTTCCAGTACTAGAGCTGCAGCAATCCACTTATTCATAAATATACAATTTAGTTTTTAAAAAAATTCAAACTATAGGCAGATAGTCATCAGTTCATTAGCAAGGCTGATGTGTAAACATTTTCATGTATAAAATCTGATTACATTAGGACAGTAACACCAACAGTAGAGCATTTACAGCACACTTTTTGGGGAAACAGCACACATTACGTTCCTCAGTCTTGATTCATCCATTTGCTTATGTGTTTCAGAAGCATTCAGCATAACAGTTCAGGTCATACCAAGACCTCTTTTGCTAGACACAATACAGATTTTGAACAAAGACTGTACCTGCCCTTGAAAGGTTATAGTTAAAGTATTGTTATGTATTTACAGCTAAATAAAGTTACAGCTTCTGCCAAGAGTGGAAATTCATGGTAGAAGTGGTGTGACATTGCAAAATCCCTGGCATCATGCACAAGACCAGTTAAAGGCATTAACTGGGAAAGATACAGGAGCTTGGTTGATGCTTTTGGCATTGTATGAAGTCTGATAAGCATAAATAGACATTAAAGTTATTTTTGATTCTGTAAATCTGTCCCCATTCAGGTAAATTAAAATGCAAAAATCTAATCTTATTCTTGTTGAATAAATAAGCCAGGAATCTCTCTTTAATTACAAGTATTTTGATGTCTGAGCTTAGGAATGTAAAAAAAATAAAAGTCCAATTGCTTTTATGAGAGGAGGAGACTAGTAATTTCTATTTTTTAATTACATCTGTTTACTATTGATCAAGGCAAGCTGATTTTTAAGATCACGAAGAGTTCTTTTCAAGGCAATGCTATGATAAAGTAGACTGGTGGAGTGCTCTCGTATTTTGTCTTCATGGTTTTTCTTTCTTTGTTCTGCTTTGGAACAGTAGTTTTTGTAGTTGTTTCAGCATTGTGCTCAAGGGGACAGGCAGACAATTGCTCTAACACATCAGCTGTGGGTGGAAAAAGCTCTAAATTTGGGCTAACTTTGTGTTTCTTTTACTCTTTTTATATCCACCTTCCTCTAGAGGTACAAAGAAAAAGAAGAAAAGGATACAGAGGAATGAGAGAGAAAATCAGCACAACTTAATGAGTCTCGATACTCCTCTGTCATCAGTTACAGCTAATGGTGTTGAAAATGAACCTACATCCCATGGGGTGGAATTGAAGAAGAAAAAGAAAAAGGCAGTGAGAGGCTCAAACTTAAGCACAAATGGAAAGACAAATACTGCCTTTGAACCTGAATGCTGGGACGTATAGTCATAATTTATTTCTGAATACTGGTGTGATATTCATTACACACATTGAAGGCTCCAATTTCGGTCTCTCTTCTAGGATTAACAGCAAACAAAGAAATTAAAATACTTAAATATGCAAAATGCCACCTGTTGTGACTTACTGATGGTGTTAACCTGCTTTGGGTGACTTTTGTCCTTGAAATCAACAGTGAGGTTCAGCTCCTCACTGGACTGGAAAAAAACTGAAACTGTCAAATACAACATTTCCTAATTTAATATCTGATTTAACTTTCACTTAGGCATTTCTGTAGGCTGTAGATCAATCCACTGTGAGCGGAGAATCAAGTGAAGAAGTGTGATCTAGAGCAAAACAAGCTCAACCACTACATATATTATTAAGTTAGCATTCTAAAATGTGTTGTAAGTAAAACAGAAGAGTGTTCAGAACGGTAAAATTCCAAAGAAGTGCTGACATTAAGGTGTACCTAAAAATGTAAGCTTTTTGAAAATATTTTTCTGACATCAAATACTCACTTGGACTGCATTTTGCAGCTCTGAACGGAATTAACCTATGTAACTACACTGTCTTCAGTAGGACTACTCATTCTTATCAAAGTAAATAAGTGTTGCAAATTCCAGACAGTTATATTTTTCAGATGAGGTTTTCTGCACATAGTGAAGATTCATTGGAGTTTTGTCAGAGTTCCTGGCTGCTTTGGCAGCAGTCTTGCCAAAGATACTTTGGTTTTGTCTGAATGAAATATTTCATATCCAACTATGCCGTTTGTTTTACTTGTAGTCCTTATTCACTTGTGTCATTAATCTGGTTTTTTACTTGAGTATTATTTTGTGAACTTTTACTGATGACTTCATTAATTATCTATGGTATTAAATAATTTATGTTTTATATTAAATGAAATACTTTCTAACAGTTAGTGTTGGTATTTTTTCTGGCTGATGATGTCCAGTTTATTTTTACTCTGCTAGGAAATTCTTCCTCCTCCCTCTCTGAAGCAATAAATAACATAAAATTAGAAAGTCCTTATTTAGTAGACAGGGCACTTGATTCCATTAAAAAAAGAAGTGAGAATAACAGTGTTGGGCACTGATGTGTGAAATGCACCCAGATGCAGAGGACTAGTTGCTCTATATTGTAATAACTTTCTTGCACATTTGAAAGTCAGAAAAATCTGTAAACTTTTTTCTTTCAAGTAAAGCACAGCAGCAAATACTCTTTTTTCACCCCACTAGTAGTTGATATTTGCTAATAGTCCTAGCTTTACTTTGCTTACAGTATGTGTATGGAGTCCACTCCTAAATAGAACTTGCTTATATGGTACTGGAAACTTAGTAATGTCTCTTTCCTCAGTCAGAGATAGTGTAAAATTATGTTAATCCTGGGACTGCCTGATTCTAGCAGGGCTCTTTGCCTCTTATCTCTCAGCCTTTGCAATGTATTTCAGCTCACCATCCTGTGTGATGTGTGGAATTTAAAGATCTTATAAAGGAGAAAAATCTCAACATTTTACATTTCTTAAAATGTCCTGGGTCACATTTAAAATAAGGGCAGAGTGACATCAGGCTCCACGTCAGGGAGAGCTGAGCAGCAGCCAAGATCTGGGAGCTCATTGGAAAGCATTGTAAAATGTTAATTTGGCATTGTCAACACTGAAGACAGAAATAACACTTCAGATAAACACCACAGAGAAATGGTAGTTCTAATCAAAGGCACAGCACCTCCTTTCATGCTTGCGAACTAGGGCTCCAATTATGTTCACTGCTCTGAAGCTGAATAGAGCTGCTTTGCCACACTTTCCAAATTGAGAGGAGAAGCAGCAGTAGTGCCTTCCAAGGCACAGTTCCAAATAACAATTAAGCAGAAGGAATCAGATAAGAGCCAAACATGAAAATGCAAGAGTTGAAAATAAACTTTTCATGATGTTTACTTGTAATTGCAATAGCTTTTGTTTTGCTTTTATAATTTTTTTTCCTCCCTACCACATGGTTGGTTAGGGACTTCTATTCCTTTTTACCATGTCACTGTGGTGTTACTCTTCTGCATTCATTTAACAGAAAAGGAACAAAAATATCTGAAATTTTGAAAAAGTCTATGATTCTTCAATATTAAAATTAGAACCTTCAGCCTAAAACCTAACAAATTATTAGCATGGCACAATGGCAAAGGCAGTTTTTAACTTTCATTCAGAAATATGGCTGATACATTCACTTTAAGAAAAACTGCTTTTTGATGTTAGTAGATTTTTATTCTTCAGACATTGCTATTGGGATTTTAAACTTACAAAAGAGGATACAACTTTTAAAAATTTTGGATTAGGGTAGTGGTTTAAAATAGATTTTTAATTTAAAAACTTTATATAATGCTTCTTGTTTCTGTGTTAATGCAGTCTACATATTTCTTAAAATCACTTTACAGTTAATATCATGTACATATGCTGAATATTGTCCAAGTATTTAAAGGACTTAAATTTCAGTGAAGAAAAGAATTCCAGAGGGATTAAGATTGCCTACTGAAAATTTTCCTTTTTTTTTTAGATGAAGAACTGTATGAGTGCCCTGTAAAATTGTTCCCTCAGCCATGATGTGTGAATTAAAATACAAGAGTTCTAAAAGTCTCTGTGATGCATTCTTAGAGGGTTACCCAAGTTCATTACTGGAGCAAAACAGATAATATGTTCTTTAAAAAAGGCTAAATATTAGATATTTTTAGCTGTCTGGTGATAGCAGCCTAGTAGGTCTTTCATTGTTGTGGTGTTTCTAGGTTTTGTGTGTGTGGTTACAACATACAGTGGCTGTTACATTTTTATGATATGGCAGAGACATCGAGAACAACGCATAAATCAGCCAAACAGAAGCAAATGCAGGACACATTTTTCCTGTGTTTCCCAATAGCCATCAAATTGCATTTAGTTTTTTCCTTAAAATAATTTGAGGAACAGACATCATAAAACACAATAAGTGTATTTGTAGCATCACTTAATTCAGAAGGCAGTAGGGGATGGATCACAGTCAAACAAGGGCTAATGAGAACACAGAGAAACATGACAACCGAAAGTCTCTGTTGACTAGTGAACTAAATCTGCCGGCTGGACGCGATTGTCTGATGGAGAATTGAATGTCAGGATCATTTAGGGTTAACAATGGCCCATTACAAGCAAAAGCAGACAGCTATGAAAAATAGCCGGCATGGTAGCCATTCTGCAGAGACTGTGGATACAAACTTGATAATGAGGCACTTCATTCACTACATCCTTCTGCTCTAATTACTCAGGTGAATAGGAAATACTTTGTTTAAGGCGGGAACAGACTAAAGCAAAAACACTTGTTTGGTAAACACAAAGAGTGGTGGGGTTTTTTAATGATCTTTTTCTAGCACGTATGAAATTAGTATGTATGCAGTGCAACCTGTTTTATGGATGTGGAGATTGAGAGGGGATAGAAGTATTTTATGAATAGTGGAGGGAGGCCAGGAAGATTCATGTCCAGAGGCTGGTACTCTGGGTTTTTTTCCTTAGTATTTTGTCCAATGGCCAAAGAGAATATTTTTGATAAATTATTTTGTGGATGTACACCTGCACTTGTAAAACTATGCTGTATTAGTTCCAGGAGTTTTATTGCTTGGAGTTTAGAATATGTGCATTAGGAACAAAACTGCTATGCATAGGGAGTAGAAACAGGAGGAGTTCTGAGAGAGGGAAATAAGCAACTTGAGAAGAAAGGTGCTGCCTGAGGAAGACTTGCAAAAACGTAGCAATTAGAAACTGGAACTCAAGAAGAAGGAACAGAAGATAATGTATAGGTGCATTATAGCAGAGCTCGGGTTGCTTCAGTCATGTTTTTTAGACTTTAGAAACTAGGATATTTAACCACTTTTTTAAACATTTGTTTTGTACCATTTACAGAAGCTTTTTGGATGAACTCTCAGAACCTATGAGGAATATTCTGTGTCTCTCCAGTAACTCTTACCTCAGTAGTGTTCTAACTCTGAGCTACAGTCCAGAAGGTCCATATGGCATGGACTCTTCAAGTCTATGGCTTGAAGAGCTGTTGGGATAGATGAAGCTTTCATTCCCTAACTTCTGGCATAGGTCTTCAGAGGGCACCTTTTTAGTTGTTGTCTATTGCAATAGGCACCTCTGCCTTGATTCAGACCTCTCCAGCTTTTTCGTCTGGTGCAAAACAGCTAGAGCAGAGATTGGAACTTCACACCAAGCATCAAGCTGCTGTTTTAAACATTAGATATTGTACAATCCTTTTGTTATGTGTGGACGTGTTCTGCTCACTGTGTTTTTGGCAAAAGTTTTGTCTTTTGTTGAGTCTGTCACTGCCTTCCTCTTCAGAAGGGTCTGTTTTTCAGCAGTGTGATGTATATGTTGAGTCCCAGTCCTGCAAGCTGCTCGGGGTAGATGGACCCCTATACTCAAAACTCCAGCAAAGTCAGCAAGGATTAGGCTTTGAGTCACAACATCGTGGCTGCAATTTATACATTAGTTTACACTAACTTTAAAGGCTGGGAAAATATTTTCTATCTTGCACCCATAGGGGAAAATGTTAGCTCTGCATTTCAGGTAAAACTACGTGCATCTCATTTTTTTTTGAGAACTTTGTCAAACCAAATGAATTTGCACTATGTTTGACTGTGGAAAGCAAGTTTACAAGTCCTGTGTAATGCTCAAATGCAAATAATCAACACAAACTGCAGATGTCACTTTTAGCGGAAAAATGTTTCCACACCGGTAAAGCAATATCAGTAAAATCTATGCTCTCAGCAGACGTCAAATTTTTATTGCACTTACATAGCCTGCAAAGGCAGGGAGTATAATAAACTTGTGTGTAGCAGCTGTAAATTTTCTGAGGATTTATCTAACCACAAATACATCGAAATGGGGAAATAGGTCTATATTAAACTGTGCAAGATGCTGCTGGAACTCAGCCACTTCTGCAACATCCTGTATTTAATTTATTATGACAGGTCTGGCAAACTGAAACACCCAATACACTTGCGACAGACTGTTATGATATAGCTGTTTGAAAACTCTGTAGTCACATAAAATGCAGGCATTAAAAAAAAAAAAAAAAAAAGAAAAGGTAGACAGATATTACCATTATTTCTCTATTATCTAGAAATTTTTCACCAGACTCACGTTCACCAACATCCTGGAGTGTACATGGCAGAGTCGGTGCAGGCAGAGGTACTAGCTGGAAAGGAAATTGTTGCAGAATATATTGGCTTAGATCCTACTGTTCTGGGATCAGAAGGAGAGTTAATGAAGTTCTGTGGACATGTTCAACTGAGGAACCTCTTTTCACACATTTTGTGAGTCAGTGCAGGCCCTAGCCATGCGTTTTGGTGATGAAGTTAATAAGTGGAGCTGAGGCACTCAGTGCCAGTTTAACTTTCTTTTTGGTTGGTCCATACTTTTGTTTCTCTGCCCATGTTAAAGACACTCAGTTTTGTTTAGTAATAGTGAAAGAGTTCCAATGAAATTGTCTGTGAGTCAAAAAGAGAATTAGTACAAATTTCTCACAAATCAGTTTTTTAATGTCTCTTACTGCTCTCATTCTTACAAAGGTGACTAGAAAAGGCTGTCCTTGCATTCAGCTACTTTTCCTAAGTTCACTGCCTCAGCACTCAGTTAAAATGAAGAAGTACTGAATTTCATCTTTTTCTGGGTATATCTTCAGTATTGAATACCCTGCTATTAATCCACAGCTAAACATAGCTAATTCAGCGCTGCACAACTGTATAATTTGAAGAAAACCCTCTTTCTTCCCTCACAAATTTTTGATAAGTAGAATGTGTTAGTTTGGTGCTTTGCTTGCACTGTGCATGAGTTAAGCTTTTGCATATCCATTCCTGCAGGTGAGCTGTACAGAGTAAATGAAAATAGTTTTCCTCACCAAGTGTTACTCACTTGGCAGGGCCTTTTTATTATGGACTGTAATTATTCCCTTAGTTCCACCTCAACATTTTTATTTTGCCATTGCATAATCAGCTAGGTTTTTTTTCTGTGTATGTCATCAGGATTTTGCGAAGAAAAGATACAAGGACTCCCTGAAACAACATCTCAGCCTTGGCCATATTGATCACCATAACTGGTCTACTCTAGCCTCAGATTGGGAGGCCTGGAGACACACCATCTATAACGCAGCTGTCTCCTTTGAGAACACACACAGGATCACTCTCGAGGAAAAAAGGCAATGCAGAAAGAACCGTGTATTGCAGAATACACCATCTAAGGAGTCTTTCTACTGTGCCTTTTGCAATCGGATTTGTCTGTCACGTATTGGCCTCATAAGCCACCAGCGTGCCTGTAGCAAATGTGGATAGAGCCTTCCCAAATCTTCGTTCGCGAAGCCCAGCCATGATGATGCATCAGGATTTTGACACCTTTGTATAGACACTGTATAAGGTAACTTAATATTATATTCTGCATTCATTTTAGTGCTTAATGGGGATATACAGTCATGGGTGTAATAGTGACATCAGTTCATTAAAATAAATGCCATCCAAAGCCAAGCTCTAGCAGCCTGCATAAGCCTATAATAAGCTTATACGGGGGTGGTTAATCCTCATTGTGATTTGGTATAATGTCATAATAAAACAGTGACATCAGGGAAAGGGCAGAAGGGGCAATAAATGTGCTTTGCAAGTGTGGCCAAAGGCCCCTGCCATCCCTCCTCCTCAACCAACAGCAGGACCAGAGCTGAGCAGGTTCAGGTTACAACTGAGGGCAACTGAAAAGGGCTTTTCTGTTAACTGAGGCAGAACACTGCAGAGCAATAAATATCTTGGGGTGGCTTTCCTCAGTGATGCATCATGGACATGCACAGACAGACAGAAGGTGTGGAGCAACATGTGGCCATCCACTGGCTTGCTTCCCAATGGAATGTATGGCCTTGCAGGTCCTGTTCACCAAAGGAAACATCTCAGAATCAGGATTCCCAGTTTAGGCCCCAGAGTTCCTAATTTGTTGCCTGTGTGCAAGGGTTTGGATGAGAAGCAAGCGGGCTGCCCCCAGCATCATCAGGCAGCAGGGTACCCTCACTCCCCAGAGAGGGGGTCACAGGTAGGTAATGAGCAGGGCCAGGGCTCAGGATTCCTGCTCCCCAGAGTGGTGTGCCAGTCACTGAGCCAGCATAAGGAAGGAGGGTGGAAGCTCTAGACGGCGCTTTTGCCTCACACTTGGTTGAAGTGGTAGCTATAGTTGGTTTTTCTTGGTGTTCTTTCCGTCAGGGTTAGGTTTCCTCTGAAAACAGAAAAAGCCCTCAATGGTAGCTCTTTGAGTTCATCGTCTTTGGCATTTTGCCTTTTATACTCTTCAGCAACACAACAGTATGGGTTTTCAAGTCACATTTGGAAACCTGGGCACCTGGCTCTTGCTGAGACTTACTTGAGGCAGTGTTTTTGACAACAGGTTCATAGGACAAGGAGTGCAGAGTTGGCTGCCTCCAGTTAGATCCCTGACTAGCCTGAATTCATAGAGATAAAGATGTCTGGTAATTCTCAGGTTCTGATTTTTGTTCAGGTTCTGAGTTGAAGGACAGAGACCTGTGTAGATGTCGTCTAAGATATGATTTCTTGGTGGTTTGTGCTATCATCTAGCAACAACTTGATTCAGTTTGCTTCATCAAGGGAGCTAATATTTTTTACAATGCTTAGCCTTCGCTGATATTTTTTCATGCCAGTGAAACGGGAAGCAATACAGGACTAGTAATGCTGACAGCCACTACCAATACCACTACCAACAAAGATTTCTCCTGAGCCATGAAAAACTAGGAACAGAAAGTTGTTAAGACACAAATCTCTTTCAGCCTAAATGTACTTATGGGGCCTGCCACCAAAGATGATGAACCTAATATTTAGCTCAAGTTGCTTTTTCTAAGAACACATTTTGTAGGGAGAGGAAAGAGTTACTAGTTCAGCACATTGGGGCTGACATACTGGTCAAACACTGTCAAGGTTCAGTCTTTTTGTAGGCTGAGGTTGCTTCACCAAGTTATTTGAACTCTGCCAGTTTCCCACACTAAGATCAGTGCTGTAACATCTGTGAATGTTTTGGAGTATCTTTTTTTTTTCTGACTTTTCTTTTTTTCTTAATGTGTGGTATTACATATTGGAAATTTATCTCTATATCATTGAAGAAACCTGTTTCTAATCCATTTGAACCGTTGGTGTATTTTTCTGGAGCGCTGCCATCTTTTCCTAGAGCTAGAATCAACTAAATTTAGATATCTGCTTTCTTAGGACCTAGCAATGGACTGCCGCAGCTTCCAAATTTGAAGATGCATGTGTTTGTGCCTGAAACCATAGCTGAATGCTGGTTAAACTCACTTGCAGAGTTCTTGTGTGAATGGGAGTTTCTTGCCATGAATACGTTTTACAGGGTCAGGTTGAATCCTGTGAGTTGAGTAAGAACTTAGTCAGAAAGAGAAAAAGAGAATTTGCTTGTGATTTGAACCTGTGCAATACCAGCAGAGAAGTGTAGTACTGCTTGAGCAGTGCACTGGTAGTCTCTCTGCATAGTGCAGCAGTGTGGAAAACAGGCCTGGTTATACGCGGATTTGTAAGCAGTGGCACATGTCACATGGGATTAAGGACTCCTGGAAGGACGCACAATTTGTGGTGCTGCTCCCATTCTCCCTCCCAGCTGCCCTCAGTTCCCTGCTGGCCTCCTGCCTCCTCTGTAAAACTCCAGCTGAAATGGAGAAATGGGATGGGTGGCAGCATGCCAGATGCCCGGGCATCAAACACCGCTTATATCTCTGACGGACACCCTGCCGTCCATCCCTGGGGTGACTCACTTCTTCATGCCTCATGTAGCTCAAAGAACTTATTCACTCCTGGACAAATTTGTGCAAATATTGATATAGCTGCCTTGTTTTGCATTGGCCCTTTTGAAGGTTGGCTTTTTTGTTTAGGTTGGCTGGCTGGTGATTTGCCACTACCATTATAACTTTCTTTGACTAGAAAGGTGTAAGTAGAACTGGTTTTTGCTACTTCTGACCTAAGAAAAGCATGTGGAAATGCTTTGGAAAGTTAAATTGAAAGTTGTGATCTGGATACTTAGTGCTCTCTGAAAACCAAGAAAATGCTTTGTCAAAAGATGTTGAAATTATTATTTATTTCCACTTTGTTGGGTTTTATTTACAGCTGGTTTTGTGACTTTCAACTGAAAGCAGATTAGTTAACTTTAATCTGAAATTGTTGTCTAAATACTCAGTGACCTAATTCATTAACCTGAGCTATGTTTTATCAGTATTTACTAAAAAATACCAACAGTGATTTTACAATAATTTTGAAAAAAGTAGAACTACATTGTTAGTGGAAATGTTGACAGTGTTGACAGTTTTTCACAAAGAACTTCTGTGCTTATTTAAAGACCATTTTTTTTGAAAAATATTTATATGAAAAATACTGATGTTAAATACTTGAATGAATTTGCTTCTTTGATGGTAAAACTGGTGTAAGTAAATGAGAGTGCATAATAAGTGTGACAAATATTGATTTCAGTAAGATTTTCAATAATGTCTTATATGATATTTTTTATAACCAAAGGGGAGGAAATATGGTCTAGATGAAACTGTTACAAGGAGTTGATGCATAACTAATTAAAAAAGAAAAGCTGCATTCAAAAAAGAGTTATCCAAGTTTAGTTATCATACCAGGGAGATATTGCAAGTGAGGTCCCTGAGGTCAGTTCTCTGTCACTTCTATTCACTATTTCCATTAATGAGCTGGACGATGTAGTAATATTTATAAAATGTGTGCGTGACACCAGGAGTTTTCAGGCTGTTTGTAGGACGTGATCAGAGTTAAAAATTATGTTGGAAAATGGAAGTAATGTTGCAAATTGGTAAAATGGCAGCCAGTAAGGTTTGTGCTAGAGGACAAAGAAACCAAAGGCAAAATATAAAATGGCTTTTCAGTTTTGTTGCAGAAAAGTGTGAAAGATGACAAACCTAAGTGAACCAACTAAGTATTTCTGGGTCCATTTAAATTAGATGATCATATGTTTCCTTTCTTTCTCTATGTTATGCTTACTATTATTAGTTGCCTTTTTCTTCTGCTAAAACAGCATCTGTAAGACTCAGTAGATCAGTGTTGGTGCATAACAGCCATTCTTTGAGAAGAACATTATGGTGAAAATGTTTTATTCATTATCTCTTCTGTCATAAATCTCTATCTGGAGCAAAAATCCTGACCCTGAATCTTTCTCCAGAACTCATGAGCCTATGGCTATTCAGTTTTAATTGTGCTGTTCCAATGATTTATGGCATGGCCTTGGGTAAATTGAACCTCCACATCAATTTCCCTGTCTTTAGCTGGAGATACTAATATTTCTCCTGTGGACAGCCTGAGAGTTAATCTGTGTAAGACTGTCTTGACAATGTACAGTCCTCAAGCACTTGTCTAGCAGAATCTTCAAAGTTTAGCTGTCACATACCTATGACACAGTAAGTAATTGAAAAATAGTCCATTTTATGTTGGGACTAAGTTTTGAGGTTGATTTTTTTTTTTTAAGTACTTCTGTAAACTCATGGTTTTCAGTCTTATGGCTTGGATAGGCAATTTTTACTATTTTATTTTTGAGACTGGCAGTATCAGGCATGAGAGGAAAGAGCTCTGGAAAAGGCCTTTGTTCATAAAAGTGGATTATTCAGCTGTAGTTGGACACTATAACTTATTACAATACACGCTCTGGTGGCAGCTATAATAATAGAGTAAGCCCCACCGGAGCTCCAAAACTCTGGAATGGGAGTCTGGCCAGAAAAACTGAAAGCCTTGAAGTATGTTCCATGGCAAGGAAAGAGAGGTTACGTTTCCCCTCAGGTGTCTTACATTCAAAAGTGATAATTACCATCAAAACAGATAGAGAAGATAAATGCTGGATAAGCTGGCAAGGAAAGGACCCAAGTTGCTGTCCGCCACAAACAGGAATACCTGCCCAGCATATAGGATGGTGTGTTGATTTGATAACAAAACACAAATGTATTAAGAAGTAGTTGAGGAGACCCTGTTTGTTTTACAGTACATGAGATAATAAAGCCATATCAATAGACTGGAAGATAATGCTGCAATTCCAGTATCTATCTTAGTTGTAAGCAGTCTCTCATTAAGGAGTGGAAGTGTCTTTACTTTGAAATGGGACTATTAAAGGCTGTGACCCCTTCAGCTTTTAAAAAATATGGAGCCTGATATGATGATAGTAGGTAGAGGAGGATATTTCTGGTGGGTCCTAACTATGCACCTTCATTTCATTAATTCACTGAATTTAAACTAAACTAAATACCAGAGTCCAGTTGGAAACATATCACTGTTCAAGAACTTTACCTTTTTCATGTCCATTTTTCTTCTTTTATGATCTCAGTCAGTAAATGGTTTGTAATTTTCTCACATTTTTTCTCAATGGGGGACTCTTTCTCTGCAACTCAGAATTAACAGATTTCTGTTCAGGAAATTATCTAGTCAGTGAATGCAACCATTTGGTGGAAAGGAGGGAAATAATAGACCGGAAATTAACTACACCATGTTTTGATTCAGTTATTTTCCCTACCCTTTCCCATTCCCACAAACTCTCTGAAAGCACCAAATCTACTCCAAGTATTAGTCTGAGAAATCACTTTTTGCTTGCAAGTAAAATGTATTTGTTCCAGCAGTTTTAGTTTCATGCTACAAAGCACATGTGGATTTTATGGCACATACATTGAATGATGACATTGAATAATCACACTGGCCACTCAATTTGGGTTTTGGTGTCAAATGACAGAAGCTGGACATTTCTTCTAAAGAGGCTGCTGATGTATAGCTGAATGCACACAAAGTATTTAATTGCCTGTAGTGTACTGCACACTTGTCCCCGAGAAGGTTCCTTTACTATCTGCTCCAAAGTGCTCGAGCAGCTTTAGGGGCAACTTCCATCCCACCCCTCTTACCCAGGCCAAACCCCTGACAACTTTAAAATGCGAAAGTTCTGCAAATGTAGATGTTTATATGCTTCATTGCTGGGCAAGCCTTGCTGAAATCCATGGAAACTGCTGGGCTTCACTGCTCTAGAATACCCTAGCGAGGACTCTGATTCACCTCTGCCTGAGTTTTAGCAGCTGGACTTCAGAGGGTTTAAATCAGAAAGAGCAGCCTCGAGAGGCTGGGCCTGAGCAGCGCTGGCCCCTTGCCCAGCTCTCTGCATGCACAGCCCTTCCTGGGTTCCCCTGGGGCACTGCCCTTGCCCACGGTGGCAGAGGGAAAGTGTAACTTCAGAGTCTGGCTTCAGTCACTGGTACCTCGTGTAGGTCATGCTGGCAGCACCTATTGTTCTGGAGCATTTGAAGGGCATCCAAGTTTTGGCATCATTAGATTATTGCCATGGTGCTCAGGCTGCAGATCCTTTACAATAAAGGGGGTTTACTTTATGTTCAGTCACTCTGAGCTGTTATCTGCAGCTTTCATCTAGTCTCCATTAATGAAAGAACAAATAATTCCAGGGACTAAATAGATGTTTGGCCATTCAAATATATGCAAAGTGATATGATTTATAAATGGGAGGAAGTTGTTTTGCAAGACCGGAGTTCCATTTGCTGTGGAATTTCAATTTAGCGTTGTGAATCCAGTTAAATCCTGAAATACTAGACTTAAGAGAGCAGGTTCTTTCATACTTTCAGCTACCTTTCAGGTGAAGTCTCCTAATGGCTGATATTTCTAGATCCCATTCTGTTTCATTAGAGGGTGATTATTTGTTAGTAGTATTAACATTGCTGCAAAGAGGAAAGTAGGAATCTATTCTCCATGATTTTGCTGATTGAAAAAGAAGGAGTAGGCTTGAACTGCAGCAAGGAAGATTCAGGTAAGACTTTGAGAGAATATCACATGAAGAACAGAGTTCTGAAGAAACTGGGAAGCTCCACCACTGTAGGCATTCAAGAAGAGGTTAAACAAATCCATTGCAGGAATGCTTCTTAGACTTAATGCTACCTAAAAACATGGGGATGAACATAATGACCATTTCAGATACCTTCCAACAGTATTTTCTATTTTTATAGCCAGCAGAATATCTGAGGCTTGCTGTTGAAGTGTCCTGGCAAAGGAGATGTTTTTCCTTTTGCTGAGTCTGCACATGGCATTCTTCAAAGTGAGGGATACAGAAGGCACAACTGGCACAGTCGTGCAAGTTTTACTACAGCATAGCCAATGATTGCCAAAGTATTGCATCACAGCCTCGCTTTCCAGCAGTTCCAGCCCTGTGGCAGGCTTCCACCTCTTGGGTCTGGAGGCATTGCTTTCCCTGACGCTGCTCCCGAGGGTCAGAGTGGGCTGTTTTGCTGAGGGCCAGGAATGTGACCTGCAGCTCAAGAATCCCCAACTCTGGCTGGTGAAGTGTTTTGAACTAGCTTGTTTGAAGTGAATCAGGTGGGGCTCAGCAGCTCTAACACCAGTGCTGAACTCCTGCTGTACCACCACAACGGAGAATTCGCCCCCCATTTTCCCCTTTTTCCTCCCAGACTTACACATTACTCTCTGTTTACCAAAACCACCTTATTTACAGCTACAGAGGCTTTGGCAAAGCTGAGTCTGGGTTTTGTCACAGCTGGAGACCAGCTGCAGATCATCCTTGTGAACTGTCTACCCTGGAAGCTGAGGCACCAAAGAATGAAGGTAAAAACAAGCCCAGATGTTCCCTGCCTGTTTGGCCTTTCTGGCCTGCCATCACTCAGCTTTTGGTGGTGGGTAGGAAGCTGTCACTGTTTGTGACAAATCACAGGGGTGGTTAGGTCTAATACAAGTTGCTCTGGAAAAACTGATGGGGAGAAAAGTAACCTGGACCAACTATACTTTCCGCAATGGAAAAAACTTTACTGCTAGTGAAGTTAAACATGTGCTCAGTGTGTGATTGGAGAAGGAAAAAAAGTCCAATGCATTTTTAGAGGGCCATATTGATGTAGCAGTGAATCTGATGAGAAATTGGTTTAAACATGTTTCAAAATGGCTTTTTGTATTTTCTGCAGTGTCACTGTCTCCCTCTCCCAGACACCCCCTGTGAAGCTATTGTCTACCACACAAGGTGTCCTGGGAAGGTGTCCTGAGGTGTTCATTGGTCCTTTGTTTAACCCCTTCCTATTGGCTGTTGACCCTTTACCTGATGGTTTTTTCTGTGTGACCCTGAACTTGTGATTGGTTCCCCTTTGACCCTCCTAAAAGCTTTATAAACCCCTTCCCAACAATAAACTCTCTCTTGCCTCCTCTCCACGCCGGTGTGCTGTCTCTGTGCCTGCCATGGAGCCACGTGGGTGCTGGGGGGAGGGGAGGGCACCTCTCCCCTCCAGGCTCGGGGCCTGAAAAACCCTGTCGCTGGAGTTCCCTTTCCCCCTCCCTCAAGACATCGGAATGGTTCTTCAGATGGAGATGGAACTAGAAATGGGTTCCCCCATGTCGTGGGTGGGGAAAGGGATCCAGATATTGAGGTATCAGGTGATGGCAGCGAGAAACAAGGACCTTTCCCTCTCTACAGGCACTGTGGTGAGCCTGGCCCTGGAAGGCTGGAGGGATTTGGAATAGCTCTACCACCACTGACAGCTGGCTGCCATGGAGGCTGTCAGAGAATGAAGCATACCCTTGTTAATGACAGCCATTTCCTTAGGGCGTGAAAATGAGGTAAATAATTATAATACACAAATTATAACTGTGGACATTTTCTTTTTAATGGAAGGAGGTATAAATAGCAGAAATGAGATGAAAATGAGAAGCAAAACTTAGGCTACATGTAAATGGAAAAATCCTAACATTGGGATTATGGGATCATCTCCTCAGGATAGTAGTGGAAGCCTGTAGTTTAGGACTTGAACAACCAGACAAAGAAGGAACATGAGGCACTACATTGCAGGGAGCAGTCCTGCCTTTTGCACTTGGATTTCCTCATAAGGCTCCTTTGCCACCACTTCTCCTTGAGGATCTGAAGGAATGTTTAATGTTGATGGCTCAGCCAAACTGCAGCTTTGGGAATTCTTATCTATCCTCAAAGTCTTATCTTTTGCTTCGGTTGTTTATATTTGCTAACTTCCTGTCCACAGTGCTTATCCAAGTTTATTGTTCAGTTTTACTATTCCTTGTTTAACAATTGCTCCTTTGCACTCAGAAGTTGGCGGTGCTTCAGCAGTGGGTGATTTCTCTGTTTATCTTTACCACCTCCTTCAGGTGTTAGAAGTAACATGCTAACCTTGGAACTATCTCAGCAATCCCAAGAGGCAAATTTTCCCCATAGATTTGCTACTCCTTTTTTACTTTTCAAGCAACCTTTTTATTTGTAGCACAGTCCTGGACTAGACATGATTCTTGCATTTCTCTACTCATGTAATTATATTCTTGTTTGGGCAGTGGGTGAGTTGGGTGGATTTTTTGTTTGTTTGGTTGGTTTTTTTCTCTGATCCATTCTAGGCAAAGAAAGGGTTAATCAGTTTCAGTAAAACATTCACAGTCACTAGGGACTGCTGCAACTGAGATGAAAAACAAGACTGCACCTGTATGCTGGCAATTTCAGATAGATTCTGGTCAACTATTTTTCTCTAGTGCTTTGTTCTGCCAGCTGCCTCAGTGCTTTGGATGCAGGTGGAAGGATGGACTTTGCTATCTATAAAAAAATTAAATGGTGAAGACCAACTTCCGTCTCACCTCCCCAGGGATCAAAGTGATTGAATTTCCACAGAACATGGCAAGACACGAAGCAGGCTGCAGTGCCTTAGTCACTGTGTGGAGGTCTCCACTCTAAAGAAATAGGTTCAGATTTTTCCCTTCTTTCTTTCTTTTTTTCTTTTTTTCTTTCTTTTTGTTGTTGTTGTTGTTGTTGTTGTTGTTGTTGTTGTTGTTGTTGTTGTTGTGAGAGACAGTGGAAGCGTGGAAGGAATCCCCAAAACTAATTGACCATACCTGAAGAGACAAGCCACCCCTGTGTAACACATACCATGCCACATCACTACTGCAGCTGTTGTAGCTCCTCCAATAAACCAAAGCAAGACAAAGAATTGCTTGGGAGCTCTACCTGTACAGCTTGATATATGCTTACAAAAGAAGTTCTCACAGATACCCAATAGATTTATGTCATGACATGCTAGTGTATGATGAAAATAAGTAGTCTCACCTGGCTGCAAAGGTGCCTTCACTGCCTGTTGAGAGCAGTGGATAACACATGGACTCTCTGATGATGGGAGATCTATTCTTGCAACAATACAATGCTATTAAATAATTCTCATAGCAAATTCTGCTTGACACAATGGGAACTTTCTGGAGTTGTGCTACACTGTACTATACAATAAGGCTCTCCGTGACATTTTTGACCGATGCTGTGGTAGAAATAAGCAATAGGTAAATAGCAGTATTAAGAACAGAGATATTTAAATGTGAGTAGAACATAAGACTTGCAGGATAACAGTCTCCATGAAAGGGCTTTTAGCAGGAGGAAAACCCCAAAATATCCATCAGAAAAGTTTGAGAGTTATGCACTGTTTGTGTGGGGTTTTAAAATACTATCAGAAGCAGAAGACATCTGATTTTTTCCCCCTCTTTTTATCAGTGGTATATAAAAAAAAAGCTTAATTTAGGTTGGTTTGTTGGGTTATTGTTTTACATCGTTGCTCTATAAGCCCACACCTTTGAAGTGCCATTAAAAAAAAGAGGAAAAAATACAGAAGTTGCTAAATGGAGACCAGTGAGTTACAAGCAGCTGAAAATAACCTGCATGCATATTGCAATGAAGTATGTGGGGATTTTGGGGGAGGTAGCTGGGTTGGTTTAGTGTAATTTTATTTTGAGCTGCCTATGACCTTCTAATGCTAATCTGCCTTTAAACAGTGTATATGTATAACATGGGTAGCTGGCTGCAAAATAACATTAAGTATTCAGAACGATTAACCAAATCTCACAAGTCAAGGCATGCAGTACCCCAAAAAGAACACCTTTGCCTCTTCACCACCACTGCAGAAAATACTTTGCTGGTTTGCAGATAGTTCTCAGCTATCTCTACAGCAAGAGGTACCACCACCTACTGTGTAAGGCAAAATGGGATAAGAGTTGGACTGAAGATCTTACCTGGTTTAGTACATACACAGTGTGCTCCTATGCATCTGTGCTGTTTAGAGTTTCTGAGGTGTGGTGTTAATGCTGCATTTAACTTTGTAGGAGGTCTTGCCAGTACTCATTTTGCACCACTACATTCATATGTAGTCATGGGACAAGACTTTGTCCCACGCGTCGTATAATTAGTGAATGCTCTTGTACCTGTGATTGTCTAAAGGTGCAAATGAGGTTATGCTTTCTGCTGCAGAGAAAAATCAAAGTCTGTAATATCTTTGTATTAGTTCAACCATTGATCTAAGAAGCTGTATCTAATAAAAATATTGCTCTCCCTGTAAACCTTGTCTGACTCTGTAGTAAATGAGTTACTTTTACTGATAGCTGGCGAGAACTTGCATGGTGCTTGAATGGGTTTCTGAACTTTCTATCCGCACTCTGCAGTTTTATCTTATGTTTCACAGAATATCGGCATCATTAAGATAAATGACTCAGTGTTTCTCTTTTGTATGGAGAGTTACATAAAGCAGTTACAATCCTATTCTTATGCCTCCTTTTACATCCAGATGCATTAGTTTTAACTAATTTTGTTTTACAGAGGATGAATTTAATGTTGTGTTTACAGACTGTATTTTTTACCATAGGTGCTATTTGTAATTGGCCAATTTGATGATATTGTGAGCTCATACTTAACATAATTTTCAAGTTATTTCAAATTGTTCTCCAATGCAGACATGCATTTAGTGTAAGTGGTAAGTTTAGTGTAAGTTTGTGTAAAATGGTGGAGCTGAAACCTGAAATATCTAATCCGTCAACAAATAGTGGTAACTGAGGAAAGTGAATGCTAATTGCTTAAACAAATGAGCAAGATTTTACCTCAAATGGACCGAACCTGAACGACAATGTGATTTCCTGAAGAGAACTTCCTTTTTAGTTGTACAAACTTTGGATGGGCCAAGTTAGTGGAGAAGGCCTGAGTTGAATGCTGTGCTGTTTTGCTCTTAGCCATTCACTTGGCAAAGCTTTGCTTTTTAGCCCACATTGAATGGGCTTGTATGCGAGGATGTGCTGGGAATAGCATCTAATGGCATGTGTTTTGTAGTGAGAGTGTAGAAATATTCTTGATAAACAGGTGGTACTGGACCTGTCTGACAATGAGGAGCAGTTTGATCCTCCACAGTATGAGGAGGAGCAGTTTGATACTACTGAGCATGTTAATGGATTCCCTAGTTCAGTCCTTTGCACTTTACACATTTTACTCTCTCCCATAAAGATTTTTTCTAGAGAGCTACTGTCATCCTTGCCATTCATTTCATTGAAAAATGAAAAATGACCATTCAATCCTGGGTCCCTTCACAAACCCGTACAAGACTTTTTGTATGATGAAATACCTAGTTGCCTTATTGCAACAAAACTGTGTCCATCAGTAATAACCAAATTCATAGGAGTGTATGAATAACGCAATGCTGATTTTCAAAAGTTAAAATTACATTGTGAATCCTGACATTGACTTAACTTAAAAGGACTGCCATAGCTCTCTGGATGCCTAAAATAAGATCAAATGAAGATTTCATATAATTTTCCCTGCCAAAGGTTTATTTTGACTGTTAGAAGACAATAGTACACAACCATTGCATTTTTTTCTTTTAACAGTACTCACCTCTGAGGTTTTCCTTTGTGTGGGAAAAGTATATGTGTCTAGGGGATATGAAGCTGTATTTTCTCTTAGTCCAAAGTACAGAGGTTTCTGGACTACTGAAAGAGTAAAGTGCTGAAACAGCATAGGTGTTCCTGAAGAAGTTTCACAGAACTCATCCCTATCTTTGCTCTAACTGCAGTTCTCTTGTAATGTTATTGAACTATTCCAGTAGCCTTAATATGATCAGATATGAATATGAGGAATACAGACTGATCTTCATGACGAATTAAGTGCCTCAAATATAAATAACAGTGTGGTTAGGGAAGCTTTGCCTATATTAATATGCTTGTTCACTTTACCTGTGCTTAATGCAGAGGGGCATTCTGCATATCTGTTCAGTAAAGGCATTTGCATCTTTTCAATTACTTTGCTTAAATGTAAAGTATTGGTGTCAAATGTTGCCCATCTCTTGAATAATCAAAAGGTAAATTATCATTTAAAGTATAAATTAAAAGATCATTAAGGCTTGGGAGTGCAGTACTTCAAAGTTAGGGGAGTCAGAATTGAGGTTTGACATGCAATTAATTCACCCTCCCATCATTCCCCACTTTTCTGTATATTCATTACAATACCAATCTTAATTACAGTCACATTTATGTGTGTGCACACACTCATACACACATTTACATCTGTCTCCTAGCCAGTACTTTCGATTGCTTCCAACTTGCCTTTACACCCACCTCTGATCTGCATCCCTTCACGTTCGTGTTGGGCAACCTCGTCCTTCCCAGCAGGAGCCCCCCTTAGAGGCCAAGGCAGCTTAGCTGAGCCCCTGTGTGACATTGCATTGGCCCCTACTGCAAGGAGCAGGGTAATAAACGACCAGCTGCAGCCCCCTACCCACAGATGGGTGGTGTGTCCTGCCCAGGGAGTCTCAAGGAGGGGAGCTGGCAAACAGAGGTGAGGCCTTCATGCTCCTGTGCAAGTGAAGTGCTCAGATGGCATGACCTGGCCAAATTTATATGGATCTTCATAGGAATAAGAGTCACAAATGATGCTCCTGCTTAAAATTTCAAGTCCCCAATCCTCAGTGTAAAGGTAGGAGATTGTCTTAATTGAAACCAATGTAAGAATATTTTAACTGGCTATTATGGTTTGAGACCAAATGACAGTGGGGAGCCTAAATGGGTTTTTAATCACAGTGTATGCAATGCAAAACAAAAAGTCAGTTAAAGTTCACAGACTCATGCTATGCTAACTAGGCCTACTAGGGCAAGGAGAAACGAGTTTTCCTCAAACTTGTTCTCAGAAAGGGCTGAACCATTTTTGCTACAACTTTCTTTTTAATTTGATATTTCTCTTTATTTGTTTTCCATTCTAGAGTGTATGCTCTAGTCATTTTCCTACCTGTGGTTAATGTTATTCAAAGAAGACACACACTGTAACTGAAACTTTGAGTTCCCTGCTGCTAATCTAGTACCACCTTGATTGTCTGAGAATCCTGAAAATACTAAAAATAAACATGTTTTTCAAGGTGGACAAGGCTGCCTTTCTAAAATTGGTACAAGAAAAAGAAATCTTAGCTAAGAAGAGTCGAGGTTTTCATCAGAACTTTGTCTATGGCCAACTACCCTGAAATGTATTGATAATTTAAGTAAATACTTTTCTACTGAAGAACATTCACCAGGTATTTTGGCTGAATATCAGCAATTTTGTGGGGGGTATGATTGTGCAAGACACGTATGAAGATGAAAATGGTTCAATCTTCCTTGTGTGTAGAAAGAACATGTGACTGAAGTGTCATGTCTGGAGCACAAGTTCTGATATTTTTCAAATATTAGCAGTAACTTGCTAAAGCCTAAAATAACCAGGGCCCAGACTATTCATGTTCTGTAATATTCTTAGCAGCCAATAAATTAGCTGTGTGTGCTTTTTCACATGACCTTGATGAACAATTCTGAAAAATAAAGCTGTGTCATAAATTACATCAGTCCCAATGAAAATGCAACAGTTGTGCAGCCCTGAAAGCTGTGGATTCCCAGATAGCCAAACCACATTGTAAGGCCAAACATTCACAGGATGTCCTGGAGCCCCCGATTTTTTCAGTCAAATTTTCTAAATACTCCTGAAGAAGATGGCTGCAGCACAAGTTGACCAAGCATGTTGTCCGATCAGCATGGACAGCTGTGGCTTTAAACAATGAGAGCCATTGTTAGGTCAATTTTAAAGTAGGTCCTTAAAGTTAATGTGATTATGCAAATGTGGTCCTAACTACCATGGCTGTCTTATATCCTTCACAAATGACTGCATTGTCACTTTTCATTATGTGCATACAGTCCCGGTGGTTTGGTGGTATCATTGTATCTCTTGGAAATGGACCATGTAAAGGCCATTCACTGTTGGCACTGCATTGTGCTTTTCTCCAAGCGGGCCAACCTTGACCCACAAATGAGGGTGGCAGAGATTTTCAGGCCAAAACCTGCGTGTGTTATTCACATGATTACTCCCATTGACTTGGCTGGAAACTCTTGCAGCAGGCATGTAAGAATTAGGTTAAAATACAGTTGTGAAATTAAATCCAGTCCACTCTAAACGGTGATGTATCTGGACAAACCTCTGACAATCCAACTTCTAGGATGAGAGGTTTTGTGTGAAATCACTTGCGGCATAAATTCAACATTAATCCGTTATTCACTGAGGAAAAGAAAACATGTCAGACAACTTCAGTGCATGTTTGTTTCCATGGTGTCTGTATTATTATTGTTATTAATTTGATTTTAATCATGAACTACCCTTTTACAGAAATCTATGATCACAGATGAAGAAGCTGAGAAATCTCAGGATCTATGTGTTCTGGAAGGTGGCAGATTTTCAGACAACTCATCAGTTGGGGGACATGACTGATTTCAGACTCTTGGTTGCATTGCTTTCAATGAAAACCAGTGACTTGCAGTTTCAGTTCTCATCACAAAAGACGTTCTCACAGCAATCTCTTGTTTGGATGGTTTTCTCTTTTTCTGAGTGTGGAGTCTGATGTTTGTCTGAGTTCTGTCCTTTATAATTTTTTGTTCTGGGGGCCAAGAGTTTCCATAACCCAAGCACATGATACACAGTCTATGATAGATTCAGAATGCTGGTTGGGATTTGGGCCTTCTTAGTAAAATATCATTCCTTTATTTCTAACATAATAAGTGTATATATATATATATATATATAGAGAGAGAGAGAGAGAGAGAGAGAGAGAGAGGCATGAATATATTTGTATGCACTTAGTTTAAATAAATCTAAAGGAAAGTCATCACCTTTCAGGGAAACCAGTGCTTCTCCATTTGCTGACTTACAGCAGCTCTCTAATGAATGCAAACTTCTTCAGAAGATTCAAGGACTTGGAAACTGCAATGGCAGCACACTCTGTTGTTTGATTTTGTTATTCTACATGCAACTTCTCATACCATCCTCAGCTCCAGAATGTTGCTCCAGAACTAGGGTGACCTTGGCCAGCCAGTGTGCAAAGTCAATAGAAATCTAATCAGTCCAAACCTACATGCATAGCAATTGGACTCTCCTTCTTCCACAGAGCCTGGCTCTACTGGAAAGGTTGGATTAGGGTGTGAAAACCTGCTTTGGTATAGCAAGACTGAAGCTGTAGCACCCTCAGCATTGGCTTCAAGAGAGTACAGGGGCACATTCAGGACATTCAGCCTACTGGAAAACTTCCTGTGGTCTAGACAGAAACGGATTTCTATTATTGGAAATACTTCGGAAAAAGTTAGTTATGAGTGCTAAAGAGAAAGGAAGAAGAGCTTCTACCACTGACAGGAAGGCAAACCAAGGTATCAAATAAATTTTCACATTTACTCCATTCAAGCTATCAAGTTGCTTGATTGATCAATTGCCAGAGAAGATGGTAACAAGTATTTTTTGGATATCAGACAGCGCAGCAAAACTTGGAAGTGACAACTTAACAAGGGAGGGGGGGCACTGGAATAATTCAGCATCTTATTTTAATCATCATGTTTTGTGCTTTTTGATGCCTGTGGCAAAATTGTGATGCAAGTGTGTGTCAGGTTCACTTCTCTCTCATCATATTAGTTCTTGTTCTGAGATACAAACAGCAGCTACACCAACTGGATGCAAAGAAAGTTTGTACCAGAAAGCCATGTGTTTCAGAGCGGTGATGGAAGGATGACTATCACATCTGTAGCTTATCACCATACAAACTCTGTTGGTATTTGTTATGGGTTTTCTGTTAGAGGATGTGGCCACAAATCAGAGGTTGGTAAGGAAAGAATTACTCTAACCTTTTTGATTAAAGAAAGTTAAGGCTGTGCCTGCATCAGTGGTAGCTCAGGAGGTGAGCCTGTGAGTTGCTGCTCCTGGGGTGCCACCGTGGGACCCTTATGGGGGGTCCCAGCAGAAGAATTCGTCCCTATCCTGGGCAGGCAGACAGCTGCTGAGAGGGTGCCAAAGCTGGACATAACATGGCCTGTCATGCCAATTCCTGGTGGGCCTCCCAGCCAGAGGCAAATCACCTCCAGTGAAAGGCTTTTCTTTTTCCTCCTTGACTGGAGGATGTTACTTGAGATACAACCAGAGCTTGCTTTTCAGTGAAGATTTTCCTGAAGCCGGGCATAGCAGGGACACCATCCTGAGTGTGTGGGACCTCTCCTGAGTGGGAATGGCAGGACCCCATCAACCATGGGCAGGGAAATGATCCATGTCCTTAGCCCTGTCTAAGCATTGGCTTGGGCTCACTGCTGTCACGGAGACAAGTGACTTTTATCAATCCATTTTCAGCAGTGTTTGGGCCAGACCTCTTCAGGGGTGTGCCTTGTTGAAACAATTAAAGTAGGTAGGACATCAGAGGGGATTGCCAGTATCAGCAGAGCAGAACAGAGCAGAAAAGTGAAGTATCATCTCTTTTCTTTATTATTTCACTGAAAGGTGTTTTAGGCCTTTGCAGCAAACCATGGCTGTTTCTCAGTTTAATTCTTTGGTGCAGTGAGGCTTGGCTGGGCAGGTAGGAGCTCTAACCCCTTGCAGATTTACATTTCCCAGCCGGTAGCACAGGCTAGCAATGTCTTTATCTGCACAGGAAGGTTGAGCCAGCACCTCGGAGGTCTCTACCTTGAGCTGGTAGGAACAAAGATATCAAAACCCATCACTGAAATAGTTATGGCCTCCCTGCACCTTCAGATAACTCCTGTGCTGATCGAGGCTGATGAGAGAGTTAATGAAACATGAAAGAGAGGCAGCAGGCAGGAAAGCACACCTGCAGGCACCCTGTCAAAGCTCTTTGGGGACTGCCTGCACTGGGAGGGCCATGGCAGGCTTGCAGCTGGGCTGGCAGGAACTGGGAGATGCAGAGGTGGTCTCTATGGTTAGTGTAGAAACCTGTCTGGGGAGAGCTTCCTGAAACTTTCTTCTTCGATTCTCTGACAGATGTGTGTACAGAGCATGTCTTGGAGCTGTGGTGATGAGTAGTGATTGAATCAAGTAGTAAAAGTTGTTTCCCCGTGAAACAAAATTTCCTTGGGTGTGAATAGAGCTAGGCTGTAAATGAAGGCCTGTGCAGCCTGAGAAGGGGAGACTCTTTTACAAAACAGTTAAAAAGTCAGCAATTATTCTGATACTCAAATAGATTGGAAAAATGCCTTCTTGAAATGTCATTTATCAAGAGGGATTGTAGAAAAAAACCCAACCAACAACTTGATTACAGATAATTTATGGAAAAATAATAGCAGAGTAAATATATTTTGTAGCCCTTAACAATGAGCTGTATAACCACTGCTGGCTTGTAAACATGGATGAAGGCAGAATTTGGACCTCTATGGTCCATCTTCATTATCTTAACCTCCATCAGTCACTGAGAGCAAAGAAGTCACAAACAAGTTTATGCTGGTAGTAGAGTCTTCAAGGAAAACTGCTGAGACATCAAAGTCAAGTTCACATAAAAGAGGCAAACAAAGGGAACAAGTACATTTGGTCAGGAAGCACAACTTCCTTTTAAATTAAGACATTAGCCTGGTGATTAAAAGATGTGACCAGCGTCTTTCCTTGGCCACCCAGGCAGAACACCACCATTGCTCTGGAGCAACATGTGGGATATTGCCCGACTCCCTCTGTGCTAGGTAACGAGGACACAGGCAAAATGCAGACCAGTGCCTCAAAATCATTCTTTCCCAAACTGAAGTATTTATAACATACTCTTTAAAAAACAAAAAAACAATCTACAGAAAAACCCAACCCCCAACATTTTAAATAGATTTCTAGGAACAAGGCTTTTTTCTGTGCTTTGCCATCACACCTTTCTCAAATCAGGACTGAGGTAAAAATACAAATAAATATGGCAGGAGTAAGAGGTGATGATCATGATGGTCCTGTCACAACCCTACAGAAACACCTTTTGCTTATGTACCTGCCTGTGGGGGCTTGACTTAGCTGGTACAGATAAGGATCAAGATTACAAATACTGAGGAAAAGTCTTCTGGCTTTTTTGATGGATCACTCCATGATACAGAATATTTGATGCTGTGCTTGCTCCCTGCTTTACCCTCTGCAGATTTGTTATTTGGCTCCTAACTACAAACTCTGGCTCTTTCATTCAAGCTCTAATTTTTTTTTCCAAACCAATCCAAGCTCTGGCTCTTTTACAGTTTAGCTTACAGCTGTCACATAGGTCAGACCTGTGGGCATCGAACCCCTGGGATTCTCTGCATAGAAACTGGAGAATTGCAGGGCATTAGCTGGGAAACACCTCACACTCTGGTATTTTCCTTTATTTTTGCCCTGGCTCCTTTGCCTCTTCATTTTTAATTAGAGGCACATGCTGAAATGATAATTTAAATTCTTTTCAGAAATCAAAAGAATTCCCACTGACAACATTATTAAATTATAATTACACCGAAGAAAAAGGTTCATAGAAATTTGAGCCAAATATCTACTCTCCATTAAATGAGAACTTGACTGAACCTGCTTTCCCTTCATTTTGGTAGCTTACTCTAGGTTTAAATGGGCACAGGATGGCTATACACCTGTGCAGAGGCCACTGCAAGGCCAAGTAGCTGTCACCAAGAGCATTTACACAGACCTGTCTCAGAATAGGTGTTGCCTGTCTGATGCTTAAAATGGAATTTACCAGACAGGTAGGACTTCTCTTGGGCTTCTCAAAGATGTGTTTCAGACAGTGAGCAGAGCACAGCCACATGGGGATATTTGTGTGAGAAAGACATGTAGGAGGTGGCAGTTTGCTGCAAAGGAAACCTAGCCAGCGTTGGTGGAGGGAAAATAATCAGGTTCCTGGGTACAGCATCCAAAGAAAGCCTCTTTCTTTGCTCAAGCTGAGCACCACATGCATGCAGAAACATATGCAAATCAGCCTTAATCTACTAAGTCCTTTACATTTTCAGTAAAATGAGAAAGGGGGAAAGAAACATTTTCCTCTGTATTAGCTCTAAGTGTGCCCATCAACAAGACAATTACTGTAGTAGTTTTACATGTTTAAAATAGGTTTTAAAGAAACAGAAGGTGTAGGGGGGAAAAAGCCCACTCCTGCAGGCAGAGCCTCCATGGTTCCTGGCCCTGGGATAATGATCTGTTTAAACTTAGCCAGGATTGGTGGAGTTGAGCCCTACCAGGCAGGAGCTTTGCCTTGAAGAACTGTTGTAAGCTTGGTGTTTCTTTTTCCCCCTTTTTTTTTCTCCTTTTCCTCCTTTTTTTTTTTCTCTTTTTCCTAAGCTGTAACAGGTTGCTAAACTATGTGGCATGCCTCAAGTCAGGCCTTTTCCTCTTTCCACTTTGCACACCATTGAGTCCTGCAGTCCTCTCTCACGTCTTGCACAAGCATTTTTATGGCATGAGCCTGCAGCTTCGGCACAGGCAAGTGCTCCCACAGACTTCCCCTTCTCTATAATCCATGCTCAGCACCAGAGTCCTGCCTGTGGTAACCTCTGAGAAACTGCCTTGGGGCTGCCTCTCC